GTCAATGCCTTGCTTAGGCTAAGCAGAGATAAGCAATTTGGTTGGTTGATGCTTTGGGACATGATAGCTTTAGTTCTAATTAAGTGAGAGTGATGAAACATGTGTATAGTTTCATTACATCACTACCTTGACTGAGTTCGATAATGAGCATCTTCTGCTCAGGGTAAGCAGAGCGATAAGCAATTTGATTGGCCGAGACTTTGGAACACAATAACTCTCCTTCTAATTGAGCTAGAATGCTCAAACTTGGTGTAGGCGTTTATTAGGTCTATACATTGATGTAATACTGCCGCCACTATGAAATACTTAACTGACGGCATAACGAAGTTCGTTCGTCTACAATAAGCCCACAATGAATTACTTTTAATTGACTCCAGAATGAACTCATTATACCGACTCCATGATGAGCTTTTCTACAAACTGCGTTATGGACTTTCCAGAAACCGGTATCATAAACCTTCTCCAGTGACAATATCATGAACTGCTGGTGCAGTCATGGATTTTTCTACTTTCATCATCACGAGCACGTTTCAATTACCTCACCAGAAACCTTTCTACTGACTCCATCATGAATTGTTTCAGTTAACAACACTAGGAACAATTCGACAAGATGAATACGCATGACATTAAAGAAGATTTCACCTATAATACTTTCTTACACCTCAATATTTTAAGCATACTGCCCTCGGAAATAAATATTTAAAAAAAAAGAATGAGCCATAATAGTGCATTAAACATACATTATGCAAGAGCTAAATCTGCCTATTGCAGATCTTTCTTTAGGCTTGAAATGTTATCTAAATTATTAATTATACATTAATTAACTTATCCAATCTGATTAAAATACAGATCTATATTTCGTCGTTTCGATGGCCTAAACTACATGAAGATCTGACCGGTTGTAGCGATAGGTCACTTCAGAGGTCATATGAGCGACTTTTGACCCGATGACGTCAGACATTTGATTAACCAATCAGCATTGATGTTACTAGTGGATTACCCACAGTTCCGTGCAAAACACGCCTAAAGCTTGCCGTTACAGACCGTTTCATTGGCTATTCCCTCGCATCATTCATAACACGTCAATGATAACCACTCCTCCAGATCCTAGTGTAGTAAAGACAAGTAAAACGAAATTTTGAACTAGAAAAACGAAACAAAATAGGACCTGTGTTTTAATCAGATTGTCACTTATCCAGACCATAATCAACTCTCGATGTCAACGCTAACCTGCGGTGTTTACTGGATTGGAATCCCATTTGCTGCTCCACGTTCATTCTTGATTTAATCATGAAATGGATAACCAAGACTATGTTTTTTATCGTACCGACTTTAGTAATGATGATCGACGCTAGGCCGAAAATTCAATCGCTAAAATCTCGGTTCAGATTGGATCAATTTTACTGAAAATTTCAGCAAATTCCTTTTGCATTATCTAGTTGTTAACTATTATAGTGAGAACTGTCAGCTCTTTATCTAATCTCCCATAATATATCTTTAACTAGCCTACACTTCATTTCAAACTCTAAACTCTTAACTTGATGGACAATCCATTATCCATATGAAGTGATGGATCATGCTTATACTCGGTTTATGGTTGACTAATACGGCCCGCTGTATTGGATGTTTGTCCACCATCTTGGATTACTGCCATTTTGGATTTTCCAATCATCACGTCCATATCAGAAATGAACTCAGCAATTCCCAAAACCTAATATAAAATCAGGACAGATGTGAATAGAAACCACGGTATTGGGTGATTTTTTTTTTAAAAAATGGGTATTTAATCTTGTTTGATGAAGTAAAGTTGCTAAGTGATGGAAAAAATTAGCAATTTAAAGTTGGTGGTTGTGGGGGTGGTAAAGATACTCGGCTGACATTGTCTGTCGATCTAACTAAATGATGTTCACTCATAACTCTCAATTTCTCTGTAAAGTAGAACACCAACCTGTTTTCACTCAGTACGTTTTGGTTCAGCAAGATCTATAGAATTAAAATGTGTTTTTCTCCTGACTTGGAGACCCCATACGATTTAATGGAAATGGCCAATTAATTGGCATTGGTCATCATAAGCCAATATAAGTCCCAGTAGACGAGTGAGAATTTAATTATCCATTTTATTAATCATAAACATATTCGTCAATTATTTTTAGTAACAATGATATATTTACTTCCTTAATCTTCTATACTTCCAATAAGTGTTAGAAACTAATACATCCCATCATTAATCAAGTCTCGCTGTGAATAAAACACGCACCTATAGTTCTTAATGTAAAACTCGTACCTTAATTATGAGCTAATCATGGCAAAACGATTGTAGAGAGTGATAATTAATTACAGATCGATCGATTGACGTGGAGATTTATTAGGGATTGTAGTTAGCACTTTCTATTTACACTTGCATAAGACATTATTTGTTCATAGATTGATAAAATCCCTACTCTATGTAGTGTCTATAAACAAGAATACGTACTATTTTGTATAAACAAAAAGAACCACTACTATCTATAAACAACACGGCCCATGAGTCTTAAGGATCGGCCTTTAATTTCGAAAATATGGCAATATCATGGACAATCTGTCTTACCCTGAAACCTGTGTGCAGTATTACCGTAAAACTTCTAAATGGTGCGATGTTTAAGAGCTAAATCGGCATATTGCAGGTCTTTATTTTGGCTTCAAATGTTACATAAAATATTATTTAGACATGTATTCGCATGAAAAGCATATAATCAACTCCCTAGACCAACGGATGGCCGAGATTTAAATGGATTAGAAAACCAGCGAGATCTTACAACTTAACCATAGTCTCCATTGTTAAGTACTGTGGCTACGCTCAGAATAAAGTAATTTGAATGAAATTTCCAATATATTCATTTTCATTGTCTATTTTTGAACTATTATAGCAGAGACCACCAGACCCGGTTTCACAAAACATTCTCAGACTTAAGTTAAACATACATTATGCAAGAGCTAAATCTGCCTATTGCAAGTCTTTCTTTAGGCCTGAAATGTTATATAAATTGTAAATTAGACATAACAATACAAGACCATAATCACCTCTCGATGGCATCGGATACTCGAGATTTTAACTAGATTAGAACGATTCGCCATTTAAAAATTAATTTAAAAATGGGAAAGAGAGCCTAAGTCTCAAATATACCAGTGCATACACCTTGTCAAAACTACAAACAGTGATAACGTGGCTCAGAATGAAGTAGTTTGAATGAAATTTTCAAAATTTTCATTTTACATTATCTATTTTTGAGCTATTATAGCAAGAATGGTCAGCTCTTTATCTAAATCTTACAGAATGTATCTTTAAAAATTTAATCAAAATTGATCGCCTTATTTTAAATAAAATATAGCTTTTTAAGAAACTTTTGTTGTTTTAATGTATCAAATACATCTATAAGAAACTATTTGTGTTTCTGGATCAAAGATATTTCTCATAAATAATGATTGCAAGTTGAGTAAATTTTAACCTAAGTATGAGAATGCTTTGTAAACTCGGGGTCAGCTCTTTATCTAAATATACATCTTTAACATTTATTTCGTGTATGGAAGAAGTTATTTAATTAATAAAATACTGTTATTTTATACACCAGCTTATCTGTCTATCCGTTCATAATTTTTGTAAACACTCTTTTAGTAAAATACTGCTATTTTATACTCCAGTTTATCTTTATATCCGTTCATAATTTTTGTAAACACCATGTAGGCCAGAGATTTCGAGATTTGTAATTACAATTTCAAACTTTCTGGGATTGTTCCGCTAGTTGTATGGAGGAACTTTATCGTGCGTCTATAGTTTGGGAGTTAATGCCCCTGTCACTGAAAGTTTACTTCGATCACAAAGCTGCTAATGGACGTGTATTCATTTCCTGGTAACACTATGTTCTTTTACGTCATGACATTTTCTTATCATTTATACTTCTTGAGACTTTTAAAACACCCCCCCCCCCCCAAAAAAAAACCAAAAAAAAAAACCCCAACAACATCAATTTAAGGAAAACACACTTTAGTTTTAGTGATCCGATAACCTGATAAATTATATATACTACTATATCACTGTTAGTTCTGTACAGCTAGCGATAATCAGGTCAACTTAGAGCTAGACAAAGTCGTAAAGGAAACCTACTTAGAATAAAATTAAATAAAAAAACCTTAAAGTCACTTAACAACCACTATATAGAGGATATTTGTCGTTTTAGAGTGAATAACATATTTTATTTCATCGAGAAGCAAGAAAACTTAAACGTTTTCTTGCTTACAGATGAAATAAAATATGTTATTCACGACAAAACGACAAATGTTCTATTTATTTTATGATTTTACAATCATTTTAGGTAAAAACAACTAGCCAGTGGAATAACACTTTTATTTCACTGATAAAACGCGGTATTCCACTACTGATCATAAAATAAACCTTATTATTTTTTAATCAAATATGGCGGATACTATATAAGGATAGATAAGAAAAACTAGCCTTGCTTTTTACGCGGTCGTCATCCTAATGTCAGGGCTTTACTTCTAAACAAAATTTAAGCAACACAACATATCCAGATCGAAAAAATCCCAAACATATCCCATCCGAACGACTAGACAGCTTGCCTAGCATTCGTCCTACACCACTGATAAGGGGACACCACGTCGGAAAATCCCGATGAACTTTCTCGGCCAATGCAGGGATCGAACACACGACCTCCAGGCTAGTAAGCCAGCGTCTTACTCACTTAGCCACAGTGGTTCCCAAAATTGTTTACGCAAATATAAACGAGTGGCATTGTAAAACTTATTAGAGTGATGCATTTTGATGTTATATAGACAGAAAGCATTAATTTATGATTATATATATATATATATATATATATATATTCCTTTTCTCTTTATTATTACATGCTGTAAAGTATGTCAATAATTATTCTTCGTTATTTACTTTTGTAATCCGTGTGGATCAACCAGTCATGTAATCATATTTAATCGTTGTCTCTTTTCAGTTATTATATTATGTGCATCACCCGATTCTATCAGAGAGATAATGATTAAAGCTCATGAGTTAAACTTTGATAATGGTGAATATGTCTTCTTCAATATCGATCTCTTCAGCAGGTAAGTTAGCACTTGGTTATTTCAGAGACGTAGACCTACTATTTTCGGGTTAGATCTAGATCCTATAAAAAGGTGGATCCCGTCTTGCTAGAATCTATTTGATTCAATTCAATTCCCATAGTCATCTGTGAAAATTAGCCATGTTTAAATTCATTAGGTATAGAAATATCGGGATGTACAAGTCTTTAAGGTGACTCTCGCGTAAAAGGGTAAATATAAGGTGATCCCAATCCCCACCCAAGTTAACACTCCTGAACTGCTAAACAAATATATCTTCAAATATCAAAAGAATCCCCCAAAGTCTTTCCTTTATGCAAAGTGTTATTTTAAATTACTTTCGTGATATAAATAAATGAAAGTTATAAATTTATAACCTGCGGACCAAATTGTGACCTAAATTAAAGATGGGTTACCAGAAAAGTATTTATCGGGTGGTTATTTCCAATAAAAGTATGGTAATTTTGGTATATATGGAAAGTAGAGATATCCAATCTTACTAGAAAAATACTGGATTCCCCGAAAAACACTCATGGAGCGTATACTGGACAAAAATGTAAGGGTTCCCCTAATCAACAGCCCGACGATTAGTAATTTCTGCACGCGAACATTGCGCGCTTGATGTACAAGTTGATAAACTTTATGAAGAGTTAGACGTACAACACTTTCTGGGAAAAAATGACGGAAAAAAACGCGGGTAGTGGATAATCCGAGAATTTAATTTGGATTTGATATTTTTAATAAATAGTAAGCGATTAAAGACAACATCGTCTTATGTATGCAATGAATTCTCCTCTGACTTCTAAGAGAGGTAAGTCACGTGACGTAAACATGACCTGGTTTGATCGATTTTTTATAGCAGGACATTCCTTCGCAATTACAATGTTTGAGAAGGATTTGAAGCAAAATTATGACCAATTAATTAGTTTGAATATGTTTTTAGTCCATATATACCATTAAATCACCCAGTTTGTACGCGGGAACCCATCTTTAACATTAAATTACCTAAATTTCAACAATATCACCCGATCGTTCTCTAAAGATATGAACTGATTTTCGTCAATGTAATTTTAAATCGATGGAGGTGAGGGAAGGAGGGGGGGGGGCACTTGGGTCTATAACTGTATGCAATTAATTGTCATTGTCAGACCCAATTTTTAACTAACAAATACGTTTCTATCTTAAGGTGTTTCAAACGCATACCCTTTATAGGTAAAGATTATGAGCCCACCAGATTTTATTTTGCTGGGCGACTTTCTAGTTTGCGCCGACAGGGACAATATAGACACATAAAATTGTTGATTTTCTACCTTGAATCTAAAAAACTTGCCCTGAAAGAGTCAACGACACCAAATGAATTTCGATAATGATCCTCTTAATGACTGATTGAACAGTTCCATTAAGTTGTGACCTGCAGAGCGTTTAAAAGATTTCGGTGGCATGCGACAATACTTCTGCGAATAATCTTTGGGCAAATCAATATGAGCTCTTCTGTGGGCTAGCGGAAGTATCCCATAAAGATCGAAACAAATGTAAAAAATCCTACCTACACAAATCCTGTTAAATGGTTGATATAATAATCCTTTCCCTGCATTACACTACCACCACTACCATACTATTCATCTCTATCTTAATATGACTTTATACACCCACATTTCCGTTCCGGAGCTACGCTCCTCGCTATTTTTACCGAACACGTTTTGATAGCGATATAGGCTACATCTTTAAGGTATAAAGTATTATCATCCAATTTTTACAGGATTATAAGCTGGTTGTCATTTTGTTTCGAAACACAGCTGCTGTGAGGGTGTATATCCAAGCTTTTTGTGTCAGTCTTGGATATAGATAGGGCGAATGAAATGTCTAAAGCAACTTATATACGTAGACCTGGGTCACATATCTGCAATATAAATTATAATCTTAAAAAAAAGTGCCTTTATTCGAAGAGACGAGTCAGAAAACATAATTATAAGAGTTCCTATTTCCTTAATCAGCGTCCACATTTTCATTTGGTATGTTATTTCATTAGAAAATACAATACATGATTATCAATTATCTCACTTCCGGATTGTAGTCTTTGAATAATGGCGTTGATTGAAAATGAAAATAACTGATGCATTTAATTATCAATCTGATTAAAATAGAATCGAAACTTGTTTCATATTGTTTGTCTTCGATGGCCGCCACTGTGACAAAAATAAAATGAGAGCGAAATAAGATCTTTAATTGCATGCGATTTCCTTGCTATTTAATGACCTCCCACCGCAATTCTACTGTTCCTGGATCGAATTCCGGCGTGTACCGACACAAACCTTCTGTATCCTCGAAGTCCAGTTTTTACGTATCAGCGGTAGTGCCTGCAAGATAACCCATGTACACATTGGCGTGCATACATAAAAAGAATCCTTGCCAGTTGGAATTTAGCAAAGAAAAAGCGAAACGTCACTGCCATGCAATGTGAACGTGACCAAAGAAAACCATTAAGCTTAAGTAAGTTTCAAAATGACCCTGTTAACGATTCGAGAATTTTATGATGGGATCGCCAATTTTGTAGAATTTATTCAAATCAGTACTCAATGAAAATATAGGGAACAGACATGTTTTAAAATCGATTTCTGTAATCTATTATTTATTTCTTTAAATTGTTAAATTCCCGGCGCTTTGTTGGGATCCGTAAGCAATGTAGGTGGATATTTGCCGCAGACAGCCGAACTGGATAATTCAACCTGATTATCAGAGGAGTCTTGAGAAAACTCTTATAGCTACGCCATTTAACAAGTAAATCTACACACTATAGAACATACACTTATGTCGGCAAGTAATTTCTCAACAACGTGTTCAATATTGACTTTAACCTCTAGCAAGATGTCCGAATCGCGACTGATTAAGTGAATCGGAATAAACACTGTGAAATATTTATATTAAACGCGATGATATATCATCTTTGACTAACGCATCTATAGCCACATGAACGGACTTTAAAATGGCTTAATGACAAATTGAGCAATATTTCAGTCGTTGGTGTTAATAAGTAATCGCGGCAATTTATTTCCCGTCCTAGAAGGGTTTAGTAATATTAAAACGCCGAGAAATAAATATATAAAGCCGACAGAAGGATTTTTTTTTTTTGCTTTTCAGAGTTGATTGATTGAAATGTTGTTAGATAGACTTGTAGTACCTTTCGATTAGATATGATTTAGAGACTGCTTAATGGGACTTTTTAATGGGGTGATTGGTTTCAGTGTTAAATATAGACCGAAAACTTATCGATTAGTTTGGACTGAAACATATTATATCTTGATATATTGTCTCTAATTAAGGTGTGTGAAAATAGAAAATCCTATATACTAATTAAATAAATCCCTGAAATTCCGATTAGATAAATAACAACTGCGTCATTGATATGGTCATTTCTCTGAGTCGATAAGTAAATTATTGAATGGGGTGAATTGTCCGTGTAACTTATATTATCTATGCGATTGGACAGATAAACTTGTTTCATAACCGTATTATGTTAAAACTAATCATGTTTAATTACAATACAAAACTAGAAACTAGATGATATAGATATTGGAATAGGAAATTAATACATTAACATAAAATATGTTATTTACTTTAGCTGTTAATCATAACTGAAGCATGAAATTAGTTGTTTTAACATATTTGCAAATTGTTGTTACTAATAATTTTAGCACGAAGTTAGCTGTTACTAATAACTATATTATGAAAAGTTTTTCTTAGTTTGCTTCTGTCATATCGACAGTGCAGCAATACTATATACCGGAAAACGCCGGAAAACAACCGGAAAACACCATTTATACTGAATACCGGAAAACACCGGAAAAACACTAAATACCGGAAAACACATTAAATACCGGAAAATACCCTAAATAGGTAACCTGGAGACTGGCACACTAAATAGGTAACCGGGAGCCTGGTCCTCTGTGTGCCTGGGTTAGGGTTAGGGTTGGGGTTAGTTTCCGGTTTATAGTATAGCCCTTCTCCGGGTTACCTATTTAGGGTGTTTTCCGGTATTTAGTGTGTTTTCCGGTATTTAGTGTTTTTCCGGTGTTTTCCGGTATTCAGTATAACATGGTGTTTTTCATTGGTTTTCCGGTGTTTTCCGGTTGTTTTCCGGTGAATTCCGGTATATAGTATAGTCCTCAACAGTGTATGGATCTAAAACAATTGATTTGATGGAAAGGGTACCTCTTTATCTTCATTATAAAAAACTAACTAAATATAGATTGATCCCTACTCTATTAAAAAGATTGTTTTTAAATTCTACAGTCAGCCATTTTCTGTTTATTCTTTTCAAATTTAAGTGACAATGACAAAGTTAGAAAGAACCCCCTAAACTAGCTCCATAGACAATCTGGCAGACTCGTCAAGCTGCTTTACCGTGCAGTACTAAATACAGCACGAGAAGTCTAACTAAATGCACCACCTCAAAAGAGACATTACATTAAGAGTCGGTTGTCGTAAGAAAACCATTTGGTCGTAATTTTTACCTATCTAGTTTTAAAGAAAATGACACATAACACAATCTGATCAGTACCCCCATAGAAATCTTAGAAAATTTGATTGAAAATGAACGAGGAATAGAAAACATTTTGATTTGATGAATTTGTAAAAAGGTCATAAAATGAAGAACGGATCTCGACGTAGAATTAATGAATCGTAAAAAAATAAATGATAGGATTTCTTAAAGATACAGGATGGGAGATTAGATAAAGAGCTGGCAGATCTCACTATAATAGGTAAAACTAGTTAATGTAATTAGAATTTGCTGAAAATTTCAGTCAAATTGATCCACTCTGAACCGAGAATTTAGCGATTGAATTTTCGGCCTAGCCTCGATCATCATTACTATAGTCGGTACGATAAAAAAACATAGTCTCGATTATCAATTCCTTGATTTAATCATGAATGAAAGTTTAACAGCAAGTCTGATCCTAATCCAGTAAATATCGCAGACTACCGATGACACCGAGAGTTGATTATGGCCTGGATTAGTTAATTAATGTCAAATTTATAATTTAGATAACATTTCAGGCCTAAAGAAAGACCTGCAATAGATAGATTTAGCTCTTGCATAATGTATGTGTAAGTTAAGATGAAAGGTCGAGAATTTTCTCTGTATAATTTTGTTTTTTTAAAATCACATGAAAAGTACGATTTTTGTTCAAAAACAAAACAAAACAAAATGTGTAAATACAAGCAAAACGTGATAAACAGACATGTTTTCTACTCTAAAAATGTCAGCGGATACTTTTCTTGAAAATACCCCGTCCAAGAGCAAACAAGCGTAATCAGAAACAACATTTGCATGAAATTAGTGATTCTCTGGCGTGGGATTTAATGAATAAATTAATGATTCGTCGAATGAATAAAATGAATGAATCTGTATTTGTAGTAAAAATGCTAGTGAACGGCCTTGGCACAGAGAGAATGAACCACCAGAAAAGAATCAAGCTGCACGTAAGGCGTACGAATCCCTCATGACAGTCACATTGCGTAAACCCACATCGCCAGAATACAAGAAATTCTCAGAGGAGGTGAAAAGAAGGGCCGGAGAAATGTATGAGAACTTTACATACGGGGAAGAAGAGGTAATGTTGCTAATAATCACTGGCAATGACTGGGGAATGGATTGATGTATCCTCCTATGGCACAATTCTAGCGCCAGTAGTAGAAAACACGGAATTCATTAGCAGTTTAAGAAGTAATGAAATACAAAGATTCCATTCATGCTACGAAGGCGGATAGGTATCAACTTTATGCACGGTATTCCCGCAGCAATGTTTTTGATAGATGCATTGATCGCCACTGGCACTATACCAAGGGTAGATAATTTCAAAATTTTTGACGTAGTAGAAACAGATGATAACACACCTTAAGTTGCAAATCACTGCTTCAGCAAAACATCGAAGTCTTTGATAATTTCAAAACTAATGAACAACAAACATTGCTACCAATATAGTAAGTAGAACAAATCATAGCACCCCTTTGCAATTCACTCCTACAACAATACCTTACAAACATTTCCGCCTATCTAGGTAGTACAGCTGGTAGTATTTATCAGATGGTAGTTCAAAGCTAATCAAGATTTTTAATCATTGACGGTAGTGCATATACATATTAATGGTTCTTCTACGGATTTTTATTTTCCTTTATGACTGGAAGCACAAAAGCCATTAATTAGTAAATGACTTATACCAGGAAAGTTTTTGTTTCACAACAATAGCGTGACTCCATATTGATGTTCAGTCCATGCATTTATTTGAGTCTCGGGAGTATACTATATTTTTATCTTGTTTGTTATTTTGATTTCAGGTGAACAGTTTTGTTGGAGCGTTTCATGACGCTGTGATATTATATGCAATAGCATTAAATGAAACATTAGAAGCAAATGGTTCCATATCAGATGGTAAAGCTATTACAGACAGAATGTGGAATAGAACATTCGATGGTAAGTACAATTAATCACAATTTTCACAGAACTTACGATGCTGTCTATTTTTTTTGATTAAGATTGATTATATCAAGTTGTATTCAATTATTTCTTGAGTTATCTCCCGTGATGATTGTACATGAGGAAACATCGCTCCAGAAATTACTCTGAGTGAACCAATGCTAAAGATGCATTATGTAAGAGCTAAATCGGCCTGTTGCAAAAGCTAATGAAATAAAACTGGGTTTAACGTCTTACTATTTGTAACACTACAGATAACAGAAGATCAGCATAATTGATAAGACCTTTAGACATAATTCGGGAGGAGCTCTTTTCCAAGTCTGGCTTATATAGGGAAAATGGGACAAGAGTGATCATCATATATGGTATTGTTTATTTATCAGATTATGGTATCTGTAACTGCACTGCGTATTTCCTTTGAAGTCATGAAGTTCTGCCGAGTATTATACACAGATCATGTGTAGCTTGTTACACAACCCGTGTTAAGAGTAATTCGGTATTTCGCTTCAATGCAATTTAAAGATATTACAACGGTTTTATTTACATAAATGAAACAAAGCCGTTGATGATGATTTGTAGTACTATGCAGTGCTAGGCGTCGCTGGTCAAATGTAGAGAGCCACTAAGCAAAAAACTCCCCACATCCAACGTGTGACACATACTCTCTTCTACTACATATTTTAATAGCCTTGTGATCGTCTGGTATTGTCTCTGGATATATTTGTAATTGTCTTCTTTTCGCTAGGACTCACGTTGTGTATATTCTTCTTACTATCTCAGTAGTTAAGACGTTTGTCTTACCAGCAATAACAGTGCAACAGTTTGTTTCTATATTTTTATGTTAAGCACTGGATACATAGGTTACAAGCATAGGCTACACCATAATACTTAAAATTAACATCTTTCTCTCAACCCCACAATTTTTTAGAGCGACTTTACTGGCGGTTACATCATATGGGTTTACTACGACTTAACGGGGCATTCTGAATCCAGATGGCGTCTCTTTAACCTCAACAGTATCTCGCTCTCAATGCACGTCTCCTCTGTAAGAATTTAGCGGCTGTCTGTCGAAAGACCCGTGTTCTGATCGTTTTCTACCCTTGGGTTCGTTCGTTCGTTTCTGGTGTTTTACGTCCACTTCCACCTAAGGTGATATCGTAGACAAGTACCCTTGGGGTTTAGCTCCCAATTATATAATTGCTCAAATATGACGTAATTTATTATAATCATTGGTTACTAAGCCAAATGATGCAATATGAATTTTCCTAACACGAGTGATCTGGTGATATTTTGTTTTTTCACACAGAAACGGCTGAAAAGAATGATAGTTTAAACCCGATTTTATTTAAAACAAATTATAGTATATCAGCATAATAGTCATGCGTACTCTGTATGTCTTTTTGTATCTTACGCAAAGGCAATTCAATACCACAAGCATGTTTACCTAAACTTCGATTAATTTTTACACAGATTAAATAAATGATATTTACGAACGATGGAATTTATGGAGCCGAATCGTTGCCATATTAAGAGAAAATATCATGGTTAAAATTGCCATATTAAGAGAAAATATCATGGTTAAAATTGCAAAATTATCATAGTCAAAATGGTAAACATGGCCATTTTCGAGATTTTTCACATGTAAAAATCATATAACACTTAATACATTTTACCATAAAACAAAATTGCTCGACAAAAGATAAACTAAAAATCTAGTTTTGTTTTTTCCCTCTCTACTTTTCGCCTTTGCAAATTCACTGTAAATTTTTCATCTTTGCATTTTCAACTATCAGATTTTCTCCATTGCATTTTCGACTGTCACAATTTCTCCAATCTAACTGACCATATAAGGAAAGGGGCGTGTTTCCGAGTTCTCACCTGTTTTTATCGTCTGGACTAAGATTAATGCTTCCTGATAGGCACTATGGGCACACGACGTCATAAATCTACGTTGATATAAGCGGCTGATGCATTTGGAGTTCTTCGGAGAGAATAGTAAGAGCAGGAGGACCGCATCACTAATAAACAATTACACAATTACACAATACAAACCCATTGACACGACACACAATATTCAAACAATAAGCATGTCAAATCAAGTGAATGGATCCGGCGTATATAAAACGATATTTAACGTAATATGTTATTTGTAGGTAATTGTTTAGTTGTAGGTACCATAGACTTAGAGGAGTACTTTATTTGAAGTACTACGCCAACATCAAAAGATAACGTCACATACTGGTTACCGGATACTTGTTTTAAAAAAAAAATCCGCTTTGCAAAAGTATAAAATGCTAATGATTAAAATTAAATAACTATTAGTAACATGTTACCACCCGACCGTCAATAATATAGGTTTCTTTTTTAAACTCTTGAGTCTTGTCGGAAAGTTACATATAGGCCTAATTAGGCCCGCCTTGTATTTGAATTAATACAACTTTTGTTTCTAGTTGTATTTTAATTAATATAACTTTTGTTTCTAGTTTCGCATTATTTAACTCCCACATTACAGATCTTTATCAACTAAATATTGTAACTGTTCTTGTGGAATAAATAACTTTGGCGGATTAACTCTGCCCTATTTATCTTGTTTGCAATTTATTACATCGTCTAATAACTGTAAAGCTTTTTTTTAAATTGATTAAGGCAGCCAGGCACCTCTTTTGTAGTTTCACCTTTTTTCAGATATAACGCCAGAAATTCGCTCACATCTATGTCGATGTGCTGTCAAAGATCAGGTCTATTAAGACAATGGAGCCGACCTCAAAGTTCGATCGATGATGTAACTCATTAAACAAAAAGTGGTTCAACATGACAATGAATTTATTTCATTTCTCAAAAAAAAAAAAAATAAAAAAATAAAAATAAAATCGGACAATTCTTAAGAATAACCCAATTGAGTAGTAATTTTAGCCGAGACGATAAATACTGATGTCTTATGACCTCAACTTCGGCTGTACCCGGAACCACACCCTCTGTCCGTTCGATTGGAGAAATTTTAGTGGTGGAAATTACAATGGAGAAATTCTGATAGTTGAAAAATGCAAAGATGAAAAAGTTAGAGTGAATTTGCAAAGGCGAAAAGTAGAAAGTGAAAAAACATAACTAGATTTTTTTGGTTTGTTTTGATACTAATATAGTGATTTTGTGTTATGTGATATTTAAAAGTGAAAAATCTCGAAAATGACCATTTTTACCATTTTGACTATGATAATTTGTCAATTTTAACTACTATATTTTCTCTTAATATGGCAACGATTCGGCTCCATAGGAATTAATTCCTATAAAATAGGTTTAATTTTTTGAGTGTATGTTAACATGCATTCTGGATTTTCAAGTACCTGTCTCAAGTTCGGAAATGTGTTTTAACGATAAACGTTACTGCGAAGACACGTCTTGTCATGGTCACACTAACCCTTCCTGGAAATTGATTATTTGACAAATCTCTATTGCAATTCTATTTCAATATCCAGAAACATGAATCAACCCAATATGCATCAGTCTTGCCTGATTTAATTGGACACCCAGTGACCGAATAACAATTTATCCGACGCCCAGTAGTCTAAAAACATTATTAAGAAAGTTGCTGGTCATACGTATGTCCAATATGTATTCTCAGTGAGATCTACTTGTGTTTTAAATTTTTGAATTTATTGAAGGAATTCCATGTACCATATATCAAAATGTAAAATATTATACAGATGCAACTTCACAGTGTAGTTTGTTTCAAAGTATTCATTTAGCATGTATTTTGCATTAGCTAAATCTGCTGTTGAAGGCCTTTCTATATGCCTGAAATGTTATCTAAATTATTAATTGGACATTAATTAACTTATCGAGACCATAATCACCACTCGATGCCATCGTTAGTCTGCAATATTTAGTGGATCTGAATACATTTTGTGATAATTTAACGTAAAAATGGATAATCGAGACTTTGTTTATAATCATACCAACGTTTGTAATGACGATAGAGGCTAGCCTAAAATTGAATAGCTAATATCTCGGTTCAAAGTGAAGTTATTTGACTAAAATATTCTGATTTCATTATCTATTTTTTAAAACTATTAAAGAGAGAACTGCCAGCTTTTTTTTTATCTAATCTTACCTATTGCCCCATTTAAGGGAAGAACATCAATGAATTACTTCACCAAACAAAACCCGTCATCAGGCGATTAATAGTACCTTAAGAAAATATAACACGTTGCACAATGGTACGGAATACAAGTTACCTAGACGTTTATATCTGGCGATGTTTCAAGGATGATTCGGTCCACTTTACCAATTTGTTAAAATATATTTAGATATAATGAATAAAATACAACTCATTTAATAGCTCATTAATTTTACACGGGATTATATTTATAGAGAATATACCGAATAATACGGTCTCATTTACCGTCAGGTTCAGATAAGTTCTGTGTTAGTACAACGATTTTTTGAAATAATAGACAATCATAATTTTTGGATACGATACGAGAGAAATAGGTTCCTAGTGAATTAATATTTACTGTAACTGGAAGAGATGTCGAACGTGCTTATAAAACGATTAAGTCAGACTTCTGCTACTAAATACCAGATAAAATCAGAAAGTCATTAGATTAATCCTACTAAATTTCATTCCAATAACAATGGCGGAAGAATAGGCGCCATTGACTGACGTTGGTTGATTAGGACAACTTCTGTATGACACTAAATGTTTGTGGTATTTCACGTTATTTACATAATGTTGGAACGTGTAGCCATAACAAAATCTGCTATGATGTAATGTACGCCTTCGTGATATTGACTTTATGTCCAGTACGACGTCCAGTCGTCTGTAACATGTTAAACAACAGAAACCGTTTTAACTGTTCAAGGGCCTACTGAAATGAACTGGATCCTGATAACACACCTTGATTAATGTGTCCCGTTAGATTATTTATTTGTACGCACCTATCCTTTTGATTTCAGGAATAACTGGCACTGTAAGTATTGATGCCAATGGAGACAGAAACGCAGACTATTCACTTTTAGACTTGAATCCAAAGACCGATAAATTCGAGGTATGATCCCCAAACTTCTTAGTTTTTGCCATGACTCCGTTTAATCATATGTTCACCAATCGTTTTTAGCGCCTGTTATTGGGCTTTAATTGGAAAATAAGCACTTTTTGATTCGGTACATGTACATTTTATTTTCATAAATTTTGTAAGACCACTGTACAGTCCTGTAAAATAATTCTAACATGTTATTGCTGCATGTATAAAGTCAATTATGACATTCTTGAACGTGACTCTACTCTGATCTCTTCAGTTGTGTATTACGTGAAAATGACGCCATGATGGGTAAAAAAAATATTACGATATTAACGATTGCCGTTGTAAAATGCAGAAAAAATTTGTTGGGCTTCCATGTCGATAATATCAGGAATTCGTTAAATAAAAACATGTCACACATAATCCTAAATATATTGACTTGCATGAACTCCATCTTTTTCTGGGATTGAATATTTTATTCGTCTGTTAACTTGTTTTGTTTTCGCTTTGTTTTTAGCGTCTGTCTGTCTCCGGGTGTCATGGCAGAGATAAATACAAATCAATATATTAATGAATAATTTTGATAGATCTGCGTACCAAAGTGTCCTAAATCGGACAGATTGTTCGTTTTATTAATGCGTTCTGTTGTCTTTAAAACAGATGGAAGATAGCGAACGCTTTGGTGTGAAGTTCCTTTTGTTTTAAGGAATATTCCCGCTGGTGATTTAATATAAATCTCTTACTTTCGAGTAACAAGAACTTGATCTAGATGAAAGGGAAAGTAAAATAAATATGTAGATTAAACAGTACAGATCTTGATCGTGTGGGTTATTCTATTTCAATTGTTAATGGATTCTTCATTTGAGGCGCAAATATTTTTGCGATGACTCAATTCACGGTAGAGAAATTTTTGACAAAATATCCCATCAGAGAATATTTTACATGCCGGTATAGAACAATTTATCTTGTTAAGAAATTTACTTCTCGTTTGTTTTTCCAAGACTGTTTCATCTAAGTTAAAGGCAGAACGTTGTTTAATAGCTCGGAAAGATTTTCCTACGCGTCATCAATATTTTTTTTTTGTGTGTTTGTAACATTTATAGCCTACATGTTTTATGTCATCGTAAACAATTTTCTATAAGTGGGTGTATATAATAATATGATGTTTTAATTTAAAAAAAAACAATTTTAAGATTAGTTTATGATTTTGAGGGCGGATACATTTTCAGAAGGCAGTCGCCTGTTTCCAGTCTAATTAAAATTAGATATTTATTTTTCTATGGTTATTTTGAAAAGTGCGTTCTGGTCCTATATACTACATCTGTTTTTAATATACCCATTTGTGACATCTTTTCGATGCCTTAAAGGGCCTCTAAGTCTAATGGTTATAATCTGGTCCGGCAAAATATAATCGAATACCTAGTTTAATTTTGTGTCGACCTGACGTTACCCCACCCCTCGCTCTTTCTCCCCCACCCCACCATCGTCTTATCGTGTTATCAAGGATTATCTAAACTATTAAAACTACATAATAATCTGTCTTGGGAATCAGCATTGTAACGTTTACAGTTCCATGTATATCTTTTCCGCAACTGGATCTCCTTGATTGAAAAAAGGAAAACAAACAATTTAATTAACTTTTCAGGTAGTTGCCAATTACTATGGTAATAAAAAACGCTACGAACCGGTAGATGGAAAGGCGATTCATTGGGCCGGAGGTCGGAGTGGTCCCCCTACAGATAAACCAAAATGTGGGTTCGATGGCTCTAAATGTCCACCAGATGGTTAGTGCTTGTCGTTTTTATATAGAACATAATGCTAGACAGAGAATCCATCCCAAATAAAGTTCAGTGAATACAATTTTGTTTGATAGACACTTCCATCCATTTCCACGAGAACCGTGCAAATATCTGCGCGATTATTATTCAAAGAAATGAAAACGACCAGTTTAAATATGTTGCTAAGCTCTACAGCAAAATGTTTCATAAAAGCAAGGAAAATGATAAGCAATCATCGACTTGGTTCCAAAAGAAACAGGGTACCAGCTAATAGGTAACTGACCCGGTCTCGCCCTAACTCCATGCCCAAAGAACCGTTCCAAAACGGGTACCAAGTCAAACCGCGACACTGGTTAGAAAGATCTTCCTGATTTTGCAAGACTGGTTCGTGGAGACGAGCTGTAATGGTGTACACATTGATACGTGAGTAACATAACACTTAAATGGGATTTAAAGAAGAATAAGTAGAAAATCCCTCGTCCTGTTTAACCAAATGTCAGTCTCAAAATATTCTAACTAATATACTGACTAGACGTTAAACTCAATATCTTTCTACAAACACAACGAAGAACCTGGAACCTGGATCTTCTTTACGAAAACATCATATTCATCAGATGTTTATTTATATGTACAACAATAATATATATTTCATTACATGTTTATTTACAGAACCTTTTCCTGAATATGTGATTGTTATCATCGTTCTGGGATCTGTATTAGTCGTGGTACTAATAGTAACTATCTTTGTTTATAGGTACATTTTAATTTGTATTTTTGTTTTATTGCGCATGTAACAAAATATATAGCATTATATGCATTAACTATAAGTAGTGACGAGTGTTGTGTAAGGGACAGTCATTGTCAGTTCTATATCACTTATATTAGTATTAATATAAAGGGGTGGGTATGCTTGTTCTTTCTGAAACATCTGATAAAACTTATCGGGTGAGGAGATCACACAGCTTTACTTAAAGAAAAAATAAGAATGACGAGTATATTTAATACTGGAAACATTAGTGTAAACAGGCACCATCAGCTGGGAAAGATTGGAGGGGAGCTGTTTGGAGCGGGGGTAGTAGATTGGGGGTGCGAGGAAAGGCTAACTATCAGTGTTATTACAAAATAATAAATGGACCGAACAAAACTAATTTTTTCTGAACCAGTTATAAAATCATTTGTCACTTCTCAGAAATTGGAATAACATTACCCGGGAATATGTCTGGTTAAATCCTTGTAGATATCCGGCTAAACCCTCTAACCTAAATTACAGCTTTAGCTATTGCAATCAGAAAACGCTTGAAGCCAATATGCCACAAGACATTGTCTTAAAGTTGTAAATAAACGGATTAGAGTTTAGACGTTATCAAATATTTCAATACTATATCTCAGTCGAGATTGAAAGTTGTCGGTGTCTTTATAGGATTCACTTCGATTCCAATTTAGGTACAAATTTTTCACAATATTACAGATTTTCTGCCACTCGTTTCTTTTGGCAGCGATTCCCGAAACTCTAGACTAATTTCTTGATCTACTAAATTGAAAAAAAAAACCCAAAAAATCTTTGTATTATTCTTTTCAGACACATAAAACTAGAAGCAGAATTAGCGGAAATGAATTGGAGAGTGAAGTATGAAGATATCATGTTCGGAGCTCCTACCAAAAATCGGAAATTGGAAAATTGTGAAAGCCGAGTGAGCTTAGATCGAGTAAGGTTACTTTTTATTAATAATGAAATATGTCTCTAGAAATTAAATCTCCCAATTCATTAAGAAATGAATATAATAATGATCTTTCGTATAGACGTTGTTATTAAGTACATTTTTCATTTGATCACTGATTGATCCGGATTAATAAGATTTTTTGGGGGTAAGCGTATGGGTCAGTCGTCCCGGGAGCAAGTGTGATGGACACAAATGTTCCGCTTGTCTTTGGCCTATTATACCCGTTAAATAATATTTATGCCCCCCACCCCCCACCCCCTCACAGCCCTTTGTTCTCAGATCCCCATTTCTGCTCCAATATAAGTGAAAACATTTAGATATGATAGATTCGGACGCGGAGGTTGGTTGGGGTGCGATCATTCGGGAAGATACTACCTCCTATTTCATTTTGTGTAGTTAGTGGGAAAACACTTCCAAAAGACACTACTTGAAATCTCAAGAGAGACGCTCAGGACAAGGCCTTGAATGTTCAAAAATACATTTCGCGGTATGTTTTTAAGTACTAGAATAATTTCGACTACCAGTCGGAATCAAACCCCAATTTCTAACCCTGCTCATGCACTTACATGGCACAATTATTCTGTAAGTTGCAGGTTAATAGGAACTGTCCTAATGAACTGTATGTTTTGTCCATGGCTGTAAATAAGATAAAACTAGATTAACGGGCACAGCTACCACAATAGAGAAAAATAACCGTGCCAGAATTGAGAATCCATTTTTATACGTCCACATTCATGATCTTGGAACTTGGCATATTTATTCCTTATAATGTAAGGATAGCAACTATTTATTTTGGTGCATGTCTCGAGCCCCAGGGGTGTGCTACCACACCCACATTTTTGTTAGTTTTTATCGGTAAATACTCTACAGGTTGCAATAATTAACAGATTTTGTTCAAATTCAGCATATCAAGCATTTCAATAACAGGGTGGTACCTATTTATATTGTTCCATATCCAACCCCCAGGGGCAGAGCCACAACCATTTTTTGTATTTATCGTCTACCGGCTGCAATTCTGAATGGATCATCTTGGAACTTTGCTTATGTATTCCTCCACCGTAATGACAGCAACTATTTATTTTGGTGCATGGCCCGACCCTTGGGACAGTGTCACACCCACTTTTTTTGTTAATATTTTGTCTGTAAATTTGGCAAAACAAACCCAACGCCTAACCTTCTTTGCCTCTTGTCATACTACAGCCATTTCATATTCCATTCTCTTCATTTTAAAAAGTACCATATCAATCAAAGCAGGAATGTGGATGTATATTGCAGCATTAGCGATGCTCTTGTTTAACTTACCGCCCTTGCTTCCTGTCAACCAGGCCAAGAATTGTAATGGAAAGTTTAATTAGTAAATACCAATGTTTTACTAATTAAATGTGCCCATGATGAACTACCTGTAAAGGTTAGCGTCATGAGTGATAGATGTCACTGTACATCCAATTTACCATAGCCTAAGTTCTCTCCCAGTTGTAATGTATAAGAACGATACATGTATATATTGTTCGTCCTCTATTAACTCTGTCTGGTGGTATTTTAATAGAATTTATTCCATAGAGTTTTAAAGCTCACAGAAAAGTCACTTTGGTTTGTAGACGAGGGATTACGTAGTTGCTTACTTTTGTAAAGACTATGTAATATAGAAGCACTTTATGCACCGAAATAAATTTAAATAAATGCCATCCGAGAATACGCGGGGTTTTGTTTATTCCTAACTAAACGATAACATCAATAGAAACTGTAGTTGAGACAACTTAAAATGATTGTTCATCCCTAGTTTTGGGAGTTGATGTTGAGTGGTAGAGATGTTGCACTGGTGTACTTAAAACACTAACTCGACTCAAAAGGAATTGCTTTCTTCTAGATCACAATGTAATTAAGACTGAAAAATGACACCGAGTTCAATTAATGTTGAGATGTAACACCGATGTACTGTTGTTATTCTCTAAATAAAACTTGTGTTTATTAAAAAATTCAAATAAATGTATTTTTCAATTTTATTCATAAAACAATCAAATTAAAAACTCACCCTATTGATGCCTTGGTTTTGAGTTTCCATTTTAAGGTTTTTGTGTTGAGTGAGTTCTAGGGTAATGCATATTTAGCTATATGCACACGTGTGAGTTAATATCGTGGTTAGAAAGTAGCCCAATTTGAAAGAAGTGTTAAGATCCCATGTGTAAACCTTGAATACCTCAAGTCAACTTCACATCAACTCAGTTTTTCTCAATCTAACTGAAATATAAAAAATCCCACACATTGTCGGATCATTGACCATCTACTTTGCGGATCCATCCTAGACAAATTTAAGACACCCCTGCTTAAATTAATTTATGAATTGTTTTACAGTGCAGCGAAGCTGCATCAATTAATACAATGGTAATGCATCTTGATAATGGTAATAAACAACTTTTTACAAAGACAGGGTATTACAAGGTTCGTATTCAAAGGCTGTTCACTAAATGAAATTCTCATATTGTCAAAATGGTTACCCTCTCAATAATTCATGGCGATCTTTACAGGTTAGAAACACATCAAGGCAGGTTGTTAACATATATTTATTAGACTATTTTAATATAAATATTGTTGTTATTATGTACACAATAGTATAGAAAAAAAATCATGAAGACTTGAAATATTTAGCTTAGTTGTTTTACAGAATAAATATGGCGATGTGATACGTTTAGTAAGAATAATTTTTGGGCGAATTATTTTTTCAATAAAAGTACTTTTGATTGTGTATTGTTTTGAACCCCACATCTTAACTTTTTTGCGGACTTAAAGTGACTTATATAAAGCACTCTTATCAACTGGGTGTAGAAATGATTTTAATTGTTTCCTATAACTTCACTCCCCTATATTTGTGGTATACTATTTCTGTTATAGGGTGCAATTAACGCCATCAAACCAATAGAAAAACAACATATCACCATCCATAAACCATTATTACTGGAAGTAAAACAGGTAATAGTAGTCTTCACGTTATGTCAGTCAAAAATAACTAATAAACTGCTGTCACTCTCTTCGGAAAGTATGAAATGTGTCATTTAGTTTACGATAGAAATAGTTGTAGTCCTAAAGGTTCTTCTAGACTCCACGCCCGTTAACGTCTTTTGTAACCGTTATGGGCAGTTTCTGATACTAAGTGTTTTTTTCAGTGGGAAGCTGTATTATCATATTCTTAAAATGTTCAGCATTATTAGTATGTACATGAAAACTGCGAAACAGAGATACCTCATTAAGCTTCGCATTTAGGATAAAGAGTTGATTACGACTTGAAAAGAAAAAAAATAATTCTACGGGATATCAGTTCCCTGCAGTTTTAAAAGAATAATCAAATATTGCCTAGCATCATTAATGAGTTGTGCTTTGTAACATTTGCGTTATCTCATTGACATTAAGATATTGTGGATTCATTAGGAAACGAATCTCTTTAACAACTTTCTTTTATTTTACTAGATAAAAGATCTGCAGAATGATCATTTGGTAAGGTTTGTAGGGGCGTGTATAGATCCACCACATTGTTGTATACTAACAGAATATTGTCCTAAGGGAAGTCTACAGGTAAATGTATTACACAGCTCTAAATGTGCATACTAATAGAAATACACGGTATTTTAACTAATATACATTTGATAAGAATTCATTTGGTTAGAGAATTCCTAATCCAATTTCATTAACAGGATTGGTGTAAATAGTCTACCCTGTAGACCCTAATATGCATTTGATACAAACGCATTTAATTAGAGAATTCATTCACTAATTTCCTTAATGTTTTTTTCATGACCCAGTGCTTCCTTGCTTTTATAATCGAGATGCAGATAGTTTTCTGATAATACTAGTGATGATATTTTATCTTCAGGATGTTCTTGAGAATGACCAAATCAAACTTGATTGGATGTTCAGATATTCAATTATGCAAGATATCGTTAGAGTAAGTCAGTTTGTTTATTAGCGGTTTCATTTCCTGTATTTAACAACTAGTCAGGGTACACGATCAGTTTATCCTAACTCTAATCCTTGGTTTTATTTTAGACTATAAGCAATTTAAAAGTCTGTCAGTGTTGCCAACTTAGTCAAATGTAGCCATAATACAAATATTGACCCAACTTACTAGTATATCTTTGCACCAATTGTCATTTGATATCTTAACAAGGGCACAGTTTATATAAGAATCAAAGTTCATAAAAATAAAATAATTAAATGAAATTCCTAAAAGATCAACACAACTTAAATTAAATAGAATTAAAGAGTTATTTACATATTGATTTATATAATGAAAACAAAAAATGCAAGCTAGATTGTCATAGCCCCAATTTTAGGATACAAATCAAATATGATTGATAGCAATACAGTCGCGTTAATATGACGGCCTGGAATCAACAGACACAAAGTAAATTTCAAATGACTTGCGGTGTGATTGAACTATTTGAATATTTTATGGACCCACCTTGAGTACTGTTAATGTTACACGATCTTGTATTATTTTAAACTCTCTTTAATATGAATTTTGTTTCCAGGGAATGGCGTATCTTCATAGTACAGATACTCACAGTCATGGTAATTTAAAAAGTACAAACTGCGTTGTTGACAGTCGATTCGTAGTTAAAATAACTGATTTTGGATTACATAGCATGAGAGAATCAGATAATGACATGCATGAAGAAACATACGCCTTTTATAAAAGTATGTATTTTTTAGAGTCACTATATATATAATTTTTAAAAATAGAATGTACCTTTAAAATTCCTAATAATATTGTTTGAGAGTTGAAATCTACAGTTATAAAACGAATAATGCAAAGAAAGGTATGTGATTACTCTAAAAGAGAAATGATTTATACACATGTATAGCTTACAGTATCATTTTGATAATTTCAGGTCAATTATGGACAGCACCTGAATTATTGAGAATGCACAATAGACCACCAGCAGGTTCTCCTAAAGGAGATGTTTATAGTTTTGCTGTGATATGTCAAGAGATTGTTTATAGAAAAGGTGTATTCTATCTGCAAAATATAGAAATAGAACCACAAGGTAGCCATTTTTCACAACGCCTGATTTATTGTATTTGCAAATGAATAAAGTATAAAAAAAAAATTCCCTAATGTTCCATATGCAACTTCTTTATCTGATTCTAATTGAAATGTCCTAATTTACAAATAGCATGACATGACGAAAGATCATGCTAATGGAATGGGTTTTAACCTCCAACTGTTATGCTCCTACTGAACTAATGAACACGTGGGGGGGGGGCTAAAAAACAGTGATTGTATACCATATAAATTGTTGTACATGTATGTGTTTACGACAGCCTATATCGGTGACCCCCCACCCCCACCCCCAACACACACACACACACACACACACACACACACACACACGCTGATTAGTAGGTCGTCGTGAAATATACCAAAATATACCAAACCTTCTTATATGAGAGAGAGAAATGGGGTTCAACGTCCACTCGACACAAAATAGGTCATTTCGGGACTAACGTATGGTTCAATTTCATTTCAAAAATTCACTTGCGTGTAAGGATCTTTAGCAGTGGGAAGAAACCGGAGGACCCGGGGAATCTAAACCCCGCCAGTTGACCCAATGACAGACCTTATGATACAGCGCGCACGCGCTACCACACCCCCCCCCTCTCATAATATGACCATTAATTTATATTCTTATGTACTAAACGCAACCTTAATAGGTGATTAAAATTCTTTGAAACGCAGCATTGTTGATAAATTAAGAATCACGAGTCTGAAATCCCGTTATGTTACTTTTTTCAATTAATCTCTTTGGTATGGTAATTTGCGGCAGCCAGGAAATTATAGAATTTAATCGAATGTATCATATTATTACAGATATTTTACCCAAAGTAAAGAATGGTATGAAACCATATTTTCGACCAACATTAGAAGATTTTGATTGTCCATGTGATGAGTTAGCTGGTGTTATCCGAAGATGTTGGTCAGAAGATCCGACAGAAAGGCCAGATTTTCAGAGTTTAAAAAATATTATTAGAAAATTGAACAAGTAAGGACAAGTTGTTTATAGATCCAAGATTCGAGGATTGTTATTGTTTACTCAACACTAACTATATCAATATGTTTTCATTTGTTTTCTATCCTTCAACATTTAAAGTTTGTAAATGTGCATAATATGCATACATATAATCTAATTATTCCATAATAGCGGATAGAGTCGGTATACCGTACCATAGACAATGTTCGGTAAGCGCAGCTTTTGGAGTTCTTGGGGAGTGGACAATGAGTTTGCTTATATATTCATTTCCACCCAATACCCATGTATTCAAAACTAATTATTAAATTAACATTTCAAGTCAGTTTTGTCTAGTAATAATATGTTGACGTTAGCAAAGTATAATGGTCACTTGCTATACCAAACGATACGACACTATCTTACGTATTGTCATGTTGCAGAGACGGTGATAAAGGAGATATTTTAGATAATCTTTTATCTAGAATGGAACAATATGCTAATAATCTAGAAGCTTTAGTAGAAGAAAGAACTGGTGATTATCTGGAACAGAAGAAGAGAGCTGAAGACTTATTATATATGATGTTGCCAAAGTAAGTATATAGTTCGGATATAAAATATAATGGTATTCAGATATAAACACTACGAATGCCATAATATCGATTATTTCTGAAATTTATTTAATATTGACATACTGTGGTGTCTTCATAAATGAAAATTCTTGGTTCATTTGAATAAAATCCAGAATTTGAAATACTCTTATCTAGATGTTGCTACCAGGCTTAAAGAATCCATAACTTAATGGGCCGTGGGTGCGGTTGAATAATCGTGTCTGATACTCGATTAGCCTTTACAAGATGAAAAATTAATGAAAATCAGTCAGTCTAATTAGGAATATTTCATGATGGTATATTTGACAAGAACGAATATTCCTGTATCTTATATATTGGAAGGTCGTCGTTATCTTAAATTGTAACATGCTTAAGGGTGAATTAGACACTGTCTATTAGACAATAATACACCTTTGTATTAGTAATTTCTTTTAAAATTCTAAAATAGCATGTTATAATGTCGATAACACCCCTCTAAATGCGAAACAGGAAGTGTTTATCTCCTAAGCAGACATGTTATTCGCTTAGTCAATGATAATTTTGTCCGTTAAAGAGAGAGAGAGAGAGAGAGAGAGAGAGAGAGAGAGAGGGGGGTAGCGGTCATTCCGGGACTTCTAGTACAATTTTATTTTGATAATAAATTGTGCGCAGATGTGGGTGGAATCCGGAGAAACCGGAGAAAACCCATGAGGTACGAAAGGCGACCCTCCTCTTTGTCAGATACAAGCTTGAGATCGAAACCTCGCTGCTTGACTCAAAGACAGACCTTATGATCTAAATGCATGCAGAACTTAAATGAATAGCAGATGTTGTTGTAAATCAAGTCTATATATGTTTCAGTGGTAAGATTGTGAATTAACACTAAAACGAAGCTAATAAATGGGTAGAGATGTCCAATAAAGCTTTTACTTAAACACCTATAATATCAAGTAAATGTCCGTATTGACAAATGAAGTAGCTGTAATTGGCACCAGTCAAATCATTGATCTTATTCGATTATTTTCAGAAAAGTTGCAGGCCAGTTGATACAAGGAGAATCGATTAAAGCAGAATCCTATGAACACACGACTATATATTTCAGTGATATATGTGGCTTCACGGCTCTGTCAGCTGCCAGCACACCCATGGAGGTAATCTAACACACAATGATGAAAAATTAAACATACAGCATCTTCAATATACAAGCGTATTAAATACGCATTACTTTTGCAACCAATCCTAGTTAAACCGAACGCTAGAAATCATTTGTTTCTTTCAAATTTGTATGTACCATGTTGTTGAATTATGCCTAATTCGCATTGATTTCACTGAGCGAATAATTATTCTTGCCTTACGATTTTGCTAATTTGAATGCTTAATTATTTTATATAACTTTTATTTTCAGGTGGTGAATCTCCTCAATGATTTATACACTTCATTCGACTCCATTATAGAGAATTTTGATGTTTATAAAGCAAGTAAACCAGTTATTTCTAACATTACTTTTGTTAATTATAGGCTGGAATAACTTTTCACTGAAATCCAAATCAATTCGCCCTGTTTAAGCCCTCTAAAAATGTTTGCTCAGATAAGAAAATATTGTGTTTTTTTGTATAAACATATTTTATTCAAACAACATGAATAGGATTGGGTAACAGGCATAGCCTATGTGAAAACCATCTCCCTGTATACAGTATAATTTACAATAATAAAGTATTTACATATATACAAGATATTTACAGTACATGTAATTATATTATATAAAAAATGAAAAACTTGTAGTAAAATATCTATTAAATTAGGGAATTTTAAAGAGAATTGAAAATAATAATTTTTAGAATCGTTGAGAAAGGTTAAAAAACTCATGTACGGTCTTAAAAATGGTAATGTTTTCAGCAACGGAAAGATTATTTGATCCAAATAACAGATGATTGCCATTTCTGTATTCGAGAGGCAAAGTGTTTATCGTTCTGCGGCGTGCATCTGAGTGGTTTGTACATATGAAAAGAAAATGTTTAATATCTTCAAATGGATGACCACAAATACAAGCTGGATCATCTGATATATGTCTCAAAAAGAAGTGGCCTTTAAGATCGCTACATCGGAGTCGGAATTTTGAATGAGTAATTTCGTTTTTTCGCGAACCCAAAAAATAATATATCGGAATGTTTGTGTCATTTTTGGAAAGTTTTTGTTTAAAGCCAGATAGTGATGTTGTTCTACGAACCGAGGTGTCTAACTGGTTCCATTCCCTGATGGAGGACGGTATAAATGTATTAGAAAAGAGATGTGTTCGGGATTTAAATTCCGTAAAATCATTATGATTCCTTAATGAATATGGTAATGTTGGAGATTTTTCAAAAAGATTTAAAAGGTATTTGGGAACAATATTATTGAAGACTTTGTACATAAGATGCAATTTGTGACGTTTCCGTCTCTCCATCAAAGGAATAAAACCAGTTTCTCTGTACAGTGATTCGTGATTGGTTCCTTTTACCGCCCCGCAAATAGTCCTAAGTGCATCAAGTTGAAGGCTTTCTAATTTATTAGCTAGTACATTTGAACAACCGTCCCAAATAATATCCGCGCAGTCAAAATGAGGCAAAATAAAGGAAGTGTAAATTGTAGAGTTTTCCGCTTTAGTCTGTATTTTAGCGATTTTAGACAATTTGTCAATTTTGAAATTTTCTTACATAAATTCTCAAGATGGACATTCCATTTTCCATTACTTTGAAAAATTAAACCAACACAAGTCTGTGTTGTGCCAAAGAACAAAGGTGGATTAGTTGTTTGTGATTTTGTGCTTATGGTCATTGTTTCCGTTTTTAGAGGGTTAAAGGTTACCAACCACAAGTCTGCCCAGTCATTTATTTTCTTTAAATCATTATTCAGAATATCCGAACTTGTACTAGGGTCATCCATTTTTACAAATAGTGAAGTGTCGTCTGCAAATAGTCTAACATTGGAATCAAGGTTGTTCACAATATCATTAATATAAATTAAAAACAATAGCGGTCTCAAAACAGATCCTTGTGGTACACCAGCATGGATGGTTCTTGGATCAGAAGATAGGCCTTCTAAAACAACTGATTGTTGTCTATTACAAAGATAATTTTTAAACCATTCTAAGAGGCTACCCCTGATCCCAGCTCCATCCAGCTTCCAAGAAAGTCCGGCGTGCCAGACTTTGTCGAACGCTTTGCTGATGTCACAAAAAACAACTCGAGTAGAAGAATGTTGGTCAATGGCTTGACAAAACATATGTGTTAGTTCTATTAGTTGAAAGATGGCGGAGTCACCACGAAGAAAACCACTTTGAAAAGACGGTTGTTAGTATTTTGTTCCCTCTCAAAAAGTTAAAGACATGTTTGTATATAAGTATCATTATGTTTAGATTGTTCAACAAAAAAGTTATTCAGTGCGTTTGCCTTGTCTTGCGGTGTGAATAAAGTGTTGTTATTTACAATTAAGGGTGGTGTGTCTTGTTTAGTGCAGCCTTGGGTTTTTACAAATGAATTAACAATTTTCCACCAGCTTTTATTGCCAAACTGCGATTTGTCATTTATCTTTTCATCTAAGTTATCATAATATGCTTGTTTTGCTTGTCTAATCAAATTTATATATTGGTTCCGAATGTTCCTAAAAGATTGCCATTGATTGTCATAATTGGTGCTGGTGGCACGTTTATGAATTATATTCTTTTTCCTTCTAATTTTCCGAATTTCGCTTGTCATCCAAGGTTTGTCGTTCGGTCTAATGGTTACTACTCTATTTGGGATATTTCTTTTAGCTAAATTGATTAATTCACTTGTAAATTTCCTACTCGAGTCATCAATGTCGTCATTGATTGTTACATCTAGATATGAATAAGTTGGCCTTTAATTATAATGTATATGGTCTAATTTTAAGATCAGGCAAGAATGTGCATCTGAGTGTACTGTGTCTTTATTTGAGCATGCAATTATCCTGCCACACAAACCGAATAGATAATTGGTGAGAATAGCGTACCTCAACATGACACAAGACAGGAAATATTCAGGATAAAATGATGCCATTTGTATGGATTTTTCGTCTTTAATGAAAATATTTACCCTGTCGATCTCCAAGTAGATTATCTAAGATACGTTGAATAATCGTTTTATTTCATTTTTGCTTTAAAGGTAGAAACAATAGGTGATGCTTACATGGTAGTATCAGGTCTTCCGGTTAGAAATGGAAACCTTCACGCTAGAGAGATTGCCCGGATGTCCTTAGCATTGCTCAATACAGTCTTGTCTTTCCGAATACGTCACAGACCCGACGACAAACTTAAACTGCGAATAGGACTTCATACAGGTAAGATATTGAAAATAAGCAATTTCAATTTTCACACATTATTATAATATACGTCATCACTTAGTGCTTTAGTGACCTAGAACACACACTGAAATGATATGACATGATCTAACCAAAGGATAGGTGTTCGGATAAAATTGCAGTTGAAATAGATTTATAAGTTGTCTATATACATCTGGCGGTATTTTTTCGTAGATGTGCATAGTAGTTATATCTCGTAATCAAACTGTCATGACGCCATCATAGGTTGATATATTCGGTTCATATCAACCTGTCATGATGTCATCATAGGTTTATATTCGGTTCATATCAACCTGTCATGACGTCATATCAGCTTGATATATTCGGTTCATATCAACCGCTGATGACGTTGATGATCAAAATAATACAAATAACACAGAAATAATTTTTTTATTCTTTTGACAATTAACATTTTTATGATACAGTTTGTAGCATTCAGCACCGAATTAGATGGTGTACTTATCGGCATATTTAGATCGGTTATCCATGTCTAAGATATCTTTCAGGATGTTCTTTTCGTCCAAATTTCGATTATTTCTTCACAAACTCCAAAACTTGAAAGTATTTATAGCCCAAGAGTTCCTTTGTAAAGTATTTTAGGTACAGTCCACTTAAAACAGTCGGTCAAATCCTTCTCTGAACATACCGAAAACCTTCAAGGTTCACTGTCAGAATTATCTGAAAAGATTGCCTTTTGATCCAAATTTTCTTCATCCTTTTGACTAGCAACTAGCAGATCCTCGTCAGAATTTGCATTCACATCTATTCCAACGCCAATCTGTTGACTAAAAAAGATTGATTATTCGTCTGATAGCTATCCATTTTGTTTTTGTTTTCAATTCTATTGAAACTTACTCCAAAACGGCGACAGTCGTTGAGTATAAACACGTGATTAGTTCGGTAATTTTCGTTATTTGGCGGAAACTATCGAGCAATTATTCAATCATTGTTGACTTTTAATTGAAGGGTCCATTTAATTTAAGAGTGATTAAAATTATGAAGTTGTATATGTCTGATATAAACCTTCCCTCCCTTGGATTGATATGAAAGAGAACATATCAACCTCGGATAGGTTTATATCCTATACATATTGAATGCCGGGTGTATGAAGGAATGGGACTACTGCGTTCAATCTGACGCGTGTATGGGTCAACTTGTGTCAAGTGGTATCGTGGGTTTTCTCCGCTTTCTCCCCGTTTTCTCCCACCACTAAAGAACCCGACGAGCAAGCGTAATAAATATATGCCGGTTTGTGTTGAGTGGGCGTTAAACCCTTTTCTCTTTTAGCGCGTTTTCTTTTATTGATGTAGCTGCCATCGCTTACTAAGCAATTACATAAAACTTGCCCTAAGCCTACCGGTCGAATTATTAAATGAAATGGGGTTTAACGTCCCACTGTTCTGCACAGACTAAATCGAATTATGACTCCTCCCGATAATATTGTAGTTATATTAATATACATTAAATGCAGTTATAATAAACATGCATTAAATGCAGCTATTTTAAATATACTACATGCAAAAGTATTAAGTATATATACATTAATACAGCAATATTACATATACATTAAATGCAGATACTAGAATTCCTGCAGTACTGAAGTTTACTTTATAATGTTATATTTCAGGTTCAGTGGTAGCTGGTGTTGTTGGTCATAAAATGCCTCGTTATTGTTTATTTGGTGATACTGTTAATACAGCTTCTAGAATGGAATCAAACGGATTACGTGAGTCATTCTAATCGCAGCCTATCATTAAAAGCCCCTTAAACTTTCACATGCTTGTTTAATGACCAGGAAAGCGTCCACAGTCTTTGCAGTTGGAGAACATACGGGACGAACATTAGCGTTCATTTTAAAAGTACCTTTGCCCCGATGTCCGGACAAAAATAGCATACATGAATATAATTTAAAAAATAACTGTATGTTTGTCTCAGAATAAAGTAGGTGCAAGCCCTACCTGATTCAAATTTAATGTTTAAATCAAAAGAATAAATATCATATCGTTTATAATAAAACGGCAGAGGACAGCTTTATTCTACTCACCATGTTGAAAAAATATACTTAGTCGGTTACTGAATTGTTATATCTCTAAGCTAGTAAAATCGATTGTCTAAGAAATATAAAGTGTTTCTCTGGGATTTATCCTCCCCAAAACCATGATGTAATTATTTCTGTCTTTAAACTTATGCAAGCGGAATATGAATGACGATTTCCATTTAGTTTATGCTCCAGTGTTGAATTATGGCCGCATTATCTTAACGCTGGGAGCGCCCGGACGGTCTACAAAACAATTCAATCTTCTATACCAGCTGTATGTGACATCTTAAGTCAATCAAGTTCACGACTCTAAGTCCAATTCTTTTTAATTTCTTTCTTATATCCCTACAAGTGGAAAATAGATATATACTTGTATATTCTCCCCTCGACATGTTAGTTGCTACTCCCATTCTAATAAGATATTTACTCCAAACTAATAAATCAAATTGTTTACCCTTTTTAGCACAACGAATACACGTTAGTCCACAGTGTAAAGAAGTTCTGGACACGTTTAATATATTCGAACTGGAGTTAAGAGGTCCCGTTGAGATGAAGGTAACTAAAACCAATTATTTGAATTTGATTAAACACTAAACTTTAATCTAGCTATTATAGATTCCACGGACACAGCGGGGTCACGGGTGTCAAACGGTTAGGGACTGGGGCTCTAGAATGTCGGTAGAGAAAAATCATTGAAAATAGGTAGCGCTGCCGGATAGGACAAAAACCTTGAAAGTTCGAATTTGAAGGTTTGGCGGATTGTACAAAAAACCTTACAAATCAACCGAATAATAGTCCGAGAATGACCAAGAATGTTAAAAGGTACATTAACATTTTCAGGCAATTAAAGATTAACATATCAATGGAAATGCCTTGAAGGGAAGAGTATCTTGTCGAAAAATGTAGATCTACCGTACGCATTTAAATCTTGATAGTTGGAATTCTTGTACTACAGACTTAACCATATTGAATAAAGATTATTCTCAATATAACGATAAAACATTCATTTGGTATTCGAACAACGGCAATACAACTATCCATCATGTCGTTGACAGTGTATGAAAATGTCTTGCCCCAGGCCATGTTTGTGCAATAAATGATGTATGTTTTCATGTTTTCTTTAGGGTAAAGGATCCATCATCACCCACTGGTTGGTTGGAGAAAGAGAAGCTCCCAGTCGATAATATAGAATAGATTAGTTTAATATTTAACAACTATATCATCCGTTCATTTACATCGTAGAATCGCCATTCCTTTTTTTGTAAAAGATCTGTGCCAATTTTTCTTAACTTCCCACGGTACATATCAGTCATCATGACAATACAAAACCAAACTAACCTATAAAAGATAACAATCTTAACCAGAGGACAACAGATTCCGACGTTTTGGAGAAAATAAGGCGACAGAATAGATGCTTTATTTTTAAATCTGTACTGTTGTTTATTAATTTTAAAATTTGTTTTTGTTGTTTTATAAGATTTCATAACAGCCTTATGAATGATACACTATATAATCAGGAACTGATATCCATTTCTAGGAGGTGGTCGCTTTTAAAAGTTGTATTTCTGTTTTATATTTCACAATCTGATTGAAATACAGATCTATTATTCGTTTGTAATACTTTCGATGACCTCCACAACACGAATTGAAGATCTAATCGGTTATAGTTCGTTCGTTCCTGGAGGTTTACGTCCACTTCCACCAAGTCGGTTGTAGTTGTAGTTAGGGGTCATATACGAGCAATATTTGACCTTATAACGTCGGTCATGCGATTAACCAATCAGCTTTGATCTTCCAGGTGGTTATTCGGATATACCACTTTTTGTTTATCGCAGCGAATGTCTACGCACAGTTCCGAGCGCAACACAACAATAACTCTACTACACAGACCATTTGATTGGGTTACTTATCATATCCCTGTGTTGTGAAGACAAGTAAAACGAAATTTCGAACTATAAAAATTAAAACGAAATGGGACCCATGCTTTAATCAGATTGGATATTTCATGATAGCTTTAACCACATAATCCAGATATTACTGATCTCTGAATTAGTAACTATTTTGTTATTGTACCGGCCACACCCATGTTTGTAGTATTATATTAGTCAGACTTCTATTCATGTATACAAATTATGTTAATATTTATACTTTCTTATAAATTATATTGTAGATCATACGTATACCATACGTATGGGAATTGAAGAATAATAGATACTTTTGGCAATTGGGGGAATTTTTCCTATCTGTATCACGTATCATGTATCCGTATCGTCACGTGATACGTTGCGTCAATGTAGTTTTTAGAGTTTTGGCAGAATTTTCGCGCCGTGTACCTATAACTAGCTGAGCTGAGCTTAGTTCTATTATCAGCATGATGGCAGTTAGTGACTAGCCTACAAATTCCTGAAAGGAGTAAAGTCGCTCGACAGTCGCTGAGCTATTTAGTGTCGAATTTTATTAAAAATCTTCGACTTCGACTCGACAGCAATTTTTGGTTTCACTAATGTATCATTTTGGAAAGTATATACCACTTTTACAGATTTGCAAGGTCCCACTTCCCTAAATTTTACACGTAGATCAACCAGCATGCAGACAGACAGACGGGAAAATATGAAAATTCCGCGAAAAGCTCATCAAAAGTAATGAATAAATCCAGTCTTTACCATGGTTAAAATAAAATCAAAAATATACACATTCATAAACACGCTATGGCACAACATTTCAGCGTCGAATAGTAGCCAAAAAATACGGTAAAAAAACGACGATGTTATCCGAACCTTTTCCGTATGAAAGCTGTTTGATACGAGCTTCCATATCCGTGTGCCGTAGTATCACGTATGAGAAATACACACGCATTGATGACGCCACACGCAAAATCGATAGGGATACGCGATACGGACCAGGAATTTAAGCTTGCCAAAAGTCTGTTTAGGGATAATTATACTAATTATAATTTAGCATGATATATTTAGAAATTTATGTAGAAATATTCTCCCAAAATCAAGTATTTCATGCTTTCTATGTGTTGATATAACCCGGTTCCACAAGCTATTGATGTTAGAAAATTGTTTGTTGCTAGTTTTACTTTTTTGTGCATGTATATAACAAACCATTCCATAATATATATTATCATCAACATGCAACCCGTGATCACGAAACATACATTAGCCTGACGTATAATAAAACCCCAACAGGTTCCACTTGTATGAACCTCGAATTAACACTGATGTCTACCATTTTGCTAAAATATAAATTTAAAAATGGGATTAGCAGAATATGTTGATAGCTAATGAGATACTGAGTTTTGTTAAAGTTGTCCTGCACTTGTTAAAGGGCTTACCTAGAGAATCTCGATGCTAATCTAGAGAAATCTCGATGCCCACTTAATCCCTTCTACGACCATCATTAAATTATGGTAGCGATTGGGGTTGGAGGATAAGAATGCACACTGTCACCATTTGTTAAGATCTTCAAAATTTATTCAGCTTGTTTAATTTAAAACACATTTGATTATACCGATAAGACGTCACATCTGCCACTATTTTTTCCTTGTCTTTCATCGTACTTGTGACAATACATAAAGGCGAGTTGCCTATGGGTTTTTATCGTAGTTGTTTTTAATTTAGTTAATCAAAAAAAATATTTCTTTCTACAGAGAATTTGATCAAGAAGTATTACTTGCTCTCTATATATTATTTAGGGCATGACAAATGAATGTATTGTCAGTGTAGTGCCCGGTCTAAGATTACAAGATACCAAAGAATGTGCATATATTCCACTTTTACATCAGTAACCCCCAAATTCCCTAGTGAATTCCATTAAAAATATATTAGCATATTATGCGTATTGCTTATACTGAAATGAAAAGAAATATATATTGGGAAAGATCAAACAATTTTTCTTGCATTCATTTCTTAGTTATTTAAATTGAGGTCAGTGTTAATAGTTTATATGTTGATATTTCATATTGTACATAACGTTCATAATAATGTATAATCACTTTCGCAACTTTAGACATGTGCTTTGAAACACGTGTCTTAATTATCAGCCAAACTTTGGTAGCTTTTATGTTATAATGTAAATACACTTGTATATTTACCTTTAATGTCTTAAGACATATCGTTTTATCACAAATGTGAATTAGTTTTAAGAAATTATTTATAAAATTTTAATTATTTTTATTGCATGTAATGCATATCAAATAGATTACCATTAAGATATTGTTAGTTAATCAATGTCTGTTGTGTTAAATGTAGTTAAAATACAGATCTGAGTTTCGTTTCGTTTTTTTTTTTATATGTGGCGATCCTTTTTTCTGTGGCAATGAGAATATTAATCCGTTAGTAGCTTTGACCAATTATGAACATGAAAAATCTAGAACAATCACTGTCCAGATTAATTATACAAAGGAACGATTCTCAGATAGTATCCTTTTTTCGGTATTTTATAAGCACAAAAAATAATTAAACATGCATTATGCAAGAGCTAAATCTGTCTATTGCAGGTCTTTCTGTGGGTTTTAAAATTTTTTCTAAATTATTGATTAGACATTAACTTATCCAAACCATAATCAACTCTCGATAACATCTTTAGCCTGCGATATTTAATGGATTTGAATACATTTGGGATGGATAATTTAACGTATAACTGGATAATCGAGATTTTGTTATCATACCAACTTCAGTAATGACGTTCGAGACTAGCCGAAACTTCAGTTGGTAATATCTCCGTTCAGAGTCAAGCAATTTGACTGCAATGTTCAGCATATTTTGTTTTCATTATGTTCTTTATAACTATTATCAAATCTTATCTAATGCCCTTTAAGAGAGACCTTATTCAAACGTTATATATACCAATGGTTATTGTCCCACGTAATATTCTAGTTTTGAAACAAAAATTAAACACAACTTGTACAACATGGAATAAAACCGATTTAAATTTCGTTTGGTTTATTTTATACTTGCGATGTCTTTTTGAGATGTCTTGAGATGAAATATTTAACGAGTTCAGATGTTTTTAACCAGTGTCCTTACAATCATCTTATAAAGTGACGTTTGAATGGGGTTTGACGTCTACTCGACAAATTTCATTTCAATAATTTGCTTGCGCGTAAGAGTCTTTAGTATTGTTACACGGGTACGCGCTAACCATTCGGTCATCCAACACCCCTTGCATTGGAAACCCGATAGTCATCATGCTGGCAGTTTCCATATACATAAGTTATTCATTGATTTAAACAATACTTATTCAAATAAGATTGATATTTGCCGATACATACATTGTCATGGGTAAGGATTACAAGCCAAAGGCTTATATTAATTCGTCTCCTATTAATAAATATACTACAAACTACAGTTACGATATTATGTACACTTGATATACAAAACACATTTTGCACTGCGATAGTTTATATTTGCTATTAATCGTGCATGTAAATAATTTAATAGCCATTCATTGAAGACCAGTATCAGTTCCAGTTGAGGTGGGGACAATTTGGGCAGAAGTGATCGAGGCTATGAGCTATCTAGAAAAAGAAAACATTTTGAGAAACGAAATATGAACCAGAAAATACGACACAAATTTTGAACTATAAAACACGAAACGAAAAAGGATCTGTGTTTTAAGAAGTGTTTGTTATAATGTAAAGAGATTGGTCAGTCTATACACCCTTCAACTATTTAGGGATTGTTTTATTTATTATTATGTATATTATTGTAAAAGCTTATTAATTAATTAAATATATCCTCACCTTTTTCTACCGAGGATTATTTATTGGATAAATCCATATCTCTAGATTTATATTGGGAGGAGATAATGCCCCATCATCGGATTCAGTGACGATTTATTGAAATGAAATATAATCTCAGATGTAACGATTGAACTATTTAGACTGCCCTGTTAAAGCTTATGTTTACAATAGACTAAGTAAATCATTTAAGTAACTATTACTAATGTTAAAAAAGTTAAATCTTGTGTAAGCTGTATAAAGTGAAAATTAATAATGGATAGGTCCAGTCTAAAAGGGCTTTTTGTCTGTTTCAGGTTCACACGCGCTCTAAATTGTTCAATGATTTATTATTGGATATAGGTTAATTGGTTACGACATACCTATTTGTTGTAATAACATCTTCCGGTCAACATCAAAACTTAATTACATCCTAGCCTCTACAGTTGCTTTTATTGGCGGAAAGAGGGGATAGTTTACATTCAAGATTAATCCGCGCCACCAATGAAAAGTCAACACAGACAGACATTGACGTGTTGAACAAACATCCATACTATCTATAAATGTCGTAAAATACATTAATCTGGGTTCGAATCATACAATAATCTTATCAGGAATAGATTAGCAGCTCCCATCGTGTCCAAATTTTTATAATTGGAACGGAACAAATGTCAGTAAGAAACGACTAGCCGGTATCTGGGGAACATACTTGCTTTTATTACATCTGAAATGAGTTAGAGGGGAAGACGACTGTGTGGTAGATAAAGCAATTTAGCTTTCAATAAGAAAAAGTTGATAGATTTCCCACGATAATTCAAGCATACATACTACTGTTCATTGAATTCAGTCTTTGTGTCATGTTGAGAAACAAGAAACATAACAGACAAACAGCAAACTCTGGTTGGATCTACTAAAGGATTTAGCCTGTTTGTCGCTTGGGCAAAAGAAAAAGCAAAGATTGTTTGGGGATATTAAGACTTTTTTAATTTTTAATTAAAATGGCTAAAACGTAGTGAGATACCTGGCACTGTTGCGTTCGGTTAGAAATGCCTAATGGCTAAAACCATGGGCCGTATATACGGTCCATGCTAAAACGTAGTGACATACCTGGCACTGTTGCGTTCGGTTAGAAATCCCTAGTGAAGGAACATTCACCCGTTGGTTTTGTGGCAGAAATACTTATTAGGGTTTCACACTGAAGATTGTGTGAAACATCACCTTTTTGTTTAGGCCGTAGCGCCGCTGTCTGGGCAAAATTCCCCCCATAGCGCACTGTATAACGAATGCCCGTCAGTGTCGACAAATTTGGATGTTAAATCCCATTCTATTTCTATACATTTGAAGAACACCTAATACAACTACTGAAAAACAAAGCGTCATTTGATTATGCTTTGCGAGATGGGTATAATTTTACGTCCTTCATAGTGTACTGTCAACACCTTCAGTAGTCAGAAGAAATCAAACCATGATCGTATGACTTTTGTCAATTACAGTCATTCGAACTGCCACACATTTTGTCATCTCAAAACTTACATTGATACATGCCAGATCATCAACTTGTATTGGTTGTTAAAATTGTGTTCCTATTACAAGAACATTTTGGGGGAAGCAATTATTATTAGAAATTCCACAGTTTAATTCAACAGTCACTATTCTGTAAAAGAGTTCCATGCAACTAATCACAATATTCCGACGTCCACTAAGCTCCAAAATGTCATTTAGAGACTGGGATCACCGGAAAGGACAAGTGATCCAACAATGTTTCGATTTCTCAAGTATATCACATAAAAACATTAATATATCATCACTGTAGACTCTTGTTTAAATATTGCACAAACATGTTAGATATTTTATTGGCATCATCAACAGGGTGCATCTTGCTGTATGTAATAAACTGTCGTCGGTATCTTTGTAGTTCTGCTAAACTGAAATTTCTATTAAATTGTATCTTTGTATCATGAAGGAAAATATTAGTACATGTATATGCTACTGTTCATATGTTACTAAATGAAATATATACATGTATATTCAAAATCCGATTGCTTGTCATTTACGATTTCTCGCTTTCCATCAATTGAAGTTGATGAATTGGACAATCGTGCAACAGCAAGTGGACTGTCCATATCAGAAAATTCACCCTGACCGTCCGCCGGTGTTTGATATAGTATGCACTACATGAGAAAGAGACGATTTAAACAGGTGGCATGTAATTTCGGTACTAACATATTGTATACCTTTATTTCAATAATACCCTTGTTTGCATGGGGCCATTAACAGTTGAAGGAATCTGCAAAACCCTATGCAAAGCCACGAGGCCTGGCATGCGACCTTACTCATAGTTACAAATACGCAGAATATCAATTCTACAACATATGAATCGATGACACCTTGTGATCTATAGCTCGCACATTACAACACCTGGACATGGACATAATAAACTTGAAACATCGGATTGGATTTAAAAAATCTGCAATGATCAGACACTTGTATGGTACAGTGATCAATATATTTTACATTTATCCTGAACAAATAGTGTATATATGCCAAACAGTGGGAGAAAACCATCTTACAAACCATGAAACTAGTGAGGTTGGGCAGGTAATCCCACACACATCCAATAATCCATAACACTTCTCCTTGCCATATACAGTCGCGGAATCGGGAATCGACCCCCTGACGTTCTTGTTGACCTGCCTATATTGATAGTTCTAGGTCTATTTGTAACCAGTATTAAAGGATACAGTATCTGTTGCACCTGTTATTGATATAGAATCACCTACTACACTTAACTTCTGATTACTCATAATATCCTGTAATAAAAAAAAACCAGTCATAGTGTGTCAATATTCAGTTTACCCAATTATAGTCCTGTCTTTTCCACAGATTTGTCTTATCTGTTTTGTTTGCCGGCACTAAAATTACTAACCGGTCTCAAACACTCAGACTGTATATTCTATAATAATTATAAACTGGTAGGTGAGATGAACTGGTCTCGAACAGCCAGACTATATTGTATATTCACTATATAGTCAGGCGGTTTTATGAGTTGAAACGGCTACGCCTTTTCAACTTTTTACATTAATGAGTTTCAATGAATAAATCTTCTAATATTGATGAACTAGAGTCTGAAACCGTATATAAAACTATATACACAGCAACAAAACAACCGCGAAAATGGACTGAATGAATGAAAAATATACACTTTAAAGTGCATACATTATACACAGCTGTTATTTTTGGCAATGTCCCATTAAGAAAGTAATGATTTAGATGTCAATAACTCAATGCAAAATCTTATAATTCTACTCACATTTACTATTTCTTGTGTTCTTTTGTCAAGTTCATAAAGGAAATTTGTAGAAGATAGTGGTTGCTGAAAAAAAACCAATGTTTAAAACATGAACTGACCGCTAAAGATTATATTACATAATATGTACGCAGGGTTCCAATCGTTTTGTATTGTTGTAGGGTGACCCGTGCATCCAAAATTTTTCGTACAGAAAGTTGGTCTCGACACAGCGAATGTACACGCTTCAGTGGCTTGATCCGAAGTGATTTCTCGCTTACTACGCAGTAAAATAATATTCAGCCGTAGAGTCTATGATACTATAAATAGCCATCGCACGTGCAATTCTCTACACATCTATCAACTGTTACAGCCGTAAAAAATCTATTGTTGACGATTCTGAATAGCAGTAATATTTAGCTTATTGGTTATTACAGAAGCTTTAGAAATTACGTTCGTTTTATTTTTTAAATTGCTTAAATTATCATTAACTGTACCGTTACGGGTGGCATCTTTTGGTTTAGTACAAATAATATCTCTGAAATTACTTGCGTTGGGCAAGATTGGCAAGAACATGATACTAGCAGTAGTTTCATTTCACTTTTACAAAGTTCTTAAAACAATTGTTGAGTTGTCTAACGTGCGTGTTTCTAAATTCAATTTCTTGTTCCAGCTTTCTCCTATGTTTCGTAAAAAGTAGTCTTGATTATCCCGGCCTGTCAATCAAACGTAGAATGGTCATTTGACTGGTTAAGCGAGACTACTTTCAAAACAAGGGCACGTAACCTATTTTTTACTTATAGCCCGTTCAGACGCTTAAGTTGAACTGGTTTAAAAACCCCGGGGATCGTTAAACCAGTTTAACTTAAGCGTCTGAACGCACATGTGGGGCAAATAAACCAGTTTAAAAAACCCAGCTCGCGACCTGTCTTCGAGAAGGCTTTTTATTTTAAACTGGTTCATCTTAGCCGTCTGAACGGGTTGGCTTAAAAACCCCATCTCCAGCTTGCTTTGAGCATGCGCAGTACGCAGTAAGTTACATTCCTGTGAAAATATCGGGGTCAGACTGTGCCAATGTTATCTAAAGCGTGCGAGAACCGAATAAAGAATATGATGCTACCCATGCGCAATTAACTCTAACCTCCGACCGAAGAGGTCAAAATAGTTAAACTGGTTTGGCTTATAGTACGTGTGAACGCAACACGATGCTGTCTTAAAAACCCCAGCGATTATGAACTGGTTTAAAAATAAGCGTCTTAACGGGCTATTACATGTTCTCGGATGTTACGGCGGACACTCTTAACCATCTTTCAGTGTATTATATTTATGGATGATTAAATGGTCATAGCTTATTAAGTACACCATGACCGTTTATTTATTGACTATAAATGTTTGAAACTGATTTAAGGCGTGGGTTATATATAAATATTGTGGTGTAATTGTCGAGATATTTGGAGATATTTATTTATGGTGGGGGCACCCTACTTGTTGATCACGTAATTACCAACCCCATGCCAACATATAATTTCTTTAGGTTCTTACACACTGTGTGGACATATTCGGTGGGGGAGGTTTTCTTTTTAGAACAGCATCACAGATATTTTTACAGGGTAATGTATCTTCACTTTGAACTGTTATCAATGGACTGTCCCATCTATTGGTAGATATAGGCTCTTCAAATCTCTGTACTAAACCTTCAAATCTGTAAATAACAATTCTAATAAGGTATTGGCTATTAACGTGAAAATATAAATAAGACAATTGAATTCACATATTGAAACTTATGAACTGTAATGCAGTTAGTTTAGTTTAAAGTCTCTGAGCCCATGCCTTGCAAAATACAATATTGGAAAAACGGAATCACTAGAAGGAATATCAGTCGAAATACGGTTCAATTCAATTCAGTATTTATAAAGATATGATGAATTGAAACGCCGGCATAATCTGAAAAAGGCATTAGGCCTACCCGGATATGGTCAAAAACAACACCACATAATATATTTTTCGCTAAAATATTTGTTACGTCATTCAAGTATTATCGCTTTTACGGGTAGACCTACAATCGTATGATCGACAATGCGGAATTTAACATTTCTGTATGTTTTTTTCTGTGTGTTTTTACTGTTATTGAGGTGTCTTATTGAGGTGGATAAATACATACATATTTGTTTCATATTTTTCTGATTTATCTCTATCTTCATTCAGTTTAGCTGCCTTCTCTGGACTTATATCACATAACACCTGTATGGTAAATTTTTAAAAATAATTATTGGTCACAAATTCTGTTTAGAAGGACAAAGAGTAAGTTTATACAAAGATACACAAAGGGGAAATAACTCCAATGTGAAATAAATAGGATGACGTCGAAATCAAGAAGAACGATATTAATAATTGTAGGCCGGTTGGGAACTGGGAAGGTTCGCGAATTTCCGGAGTCCACAATGGCCGCTTTATATAAATGAGTATTTTGGGGAATACTAACCCCAACCCTCTGAGAAGACTGAACCTGGATCCAATTTACCCCTCTTAAAAGAGATTTGCATCTCACAATAAAGAATAATGAGATAGAATTGCTACATAGAGACTAATTACAATTTGTTGCTACCGAGATGGTGAAAATTGAGCGTAGGTTCAAACCAGGGACCCCTTGGTTAGTGAGTCGGCGACTTACTCCCTGGACCTCCATTGCTGAGGCCTATAATTTTAGCTTAATTTAATAATCAGGTTTTAAAAAAATGTTGACTTAAATTGTTTACTTACAATCTGATTAAAATACAGATCTATATTTAGTTTCGTTTTTTTATACTTTCGATGGCCTCTACTACATAAAATGTTACCAGTTGTAGTAGGATGGTGTGTCAGGGGGTCATACAAAAGGCTTTTGACCCTATGCCGTCAGACATTTGATTAACCAGTCAGCGTTGGTGTTTCTAGTAGGATACCCAAGAATTCGCTGCAACTGACCGTTTCATTGGCTAACCAATACTAGCGTAGTAAAGACAAGTAAGACAAAATTTTAAGCTATAAAAAACGAAAGAAATAAGATCTGTGTTTTAATCAGATTGGTTTACTTACAACACAATGTGGAGTTTGGCAGGATTTTGTTACACAGTATAATTCATATCGAAAACCTACAAAAATAACAAACATTATAGATGTGGACTTTTCTACCCTTTATTAGCTCCCCAGCAACAAAGTCATCCATATACTAATTCTAAAATAATTGTCAACAAATTCCACAAAGCTAGTTTTAGAAAGATATATTATGAATTATGTACTAAGCTTTAAAAGCAAAATTAATGTGGATGTGAAAATAACTATGGGAAACTCACTCGCAATTAGGGGGATCACCTGGCTAAGTGGGTAAGAAGATGACTCGCTAGCCTGGAGGTCGGGTGTTCGATCCCTGCATTGGCCGAGAAAGTTCATCCAGATTTTCCGACGTGGTTCCCCCTTGTCAGTGATGCAGGACGGAGGGCCTGACAAGGACAGCTGTCTAGTCCTTCGGATGAGACGAAAAACAGAGGTCCCGTGTATACATTGGGATGCACGTAAAAGATCCTTTGGCAGTTGGAATTCGATATAAGAGTAGGCGGTAGTGCCGCTGCCCGGGCAAAATTTCCCTCATAGCACACTGTATGGCGTATGCCCGTCTTCATTAGCCCAGCATAGGAGCAGAGCAGTAGGACGTTAAACCCCATTTCATTTTCATTTCATTTCACTCGCAATTATTGAGTTGTTTTAAAAATTCCATTGTTAACTTTGTCCGGTATGAGGTTCACAAAGTAAATGGGGTTAACAAGTATTAATGGTCAATGTGACCACAGACATAATTTACGACCCGAAAATGTTCAAATTCGAGTTCTTATGCCACATGAGCAATCTCAACCGGTTTCAAAAATAGTCTCGGTGTCGCAAAGATTTCGTAACTCTACGATTTGTAAATGAAAAATTCTTAAATTTTGACAGAATCACTCCTAGGGTCCAAATACCACCTAGTCTATACCATTTCATCTCATGCATCGAGTTCACGAGCTTGAAGTGTAAATTCCATTGTTAACTTTGTCCGGTATGAGGTTCCCAAAGTTAATGGGGTTAACAAGTATTAATGGTCAATGTGACCACAGACATAATTTACGACCCGAAAATGTTCAAATTCGAGTTCTTATGCCACATGAGCAATCTCAACCGGTTTCAAAAATAGTCTCGGTGTCGCAAAGATTTCGTAACTCTACGATTTGTAAATGAAAAATTCTTAAATTTTGACAGAATCACCCCTAGGGTCCAAATACCACCTAGTCTATACCATTTCATCTCATGCATCGAGTTCACGAGCTTGAAGTGTAAAAAAATGACCGGAAATATATACCGGCAAACGCATTCAAAATTTACGATACGAAAATGTGGAAAATCGGTAAGGTTCTTCTTAATACCCTAATGAACAAGCCCATAGAATTTTTTAAAAATTCTACACAAGATCTTGTCCTGAAAGAGCTGTTACCTTTAGTTATCATTTTTTATACACGTCCACTCACTCACCTTTTATGTAATTAAGTGAATCAAGAATTACAAAATCATCCTTGTTAAGTAACCTCTGTACTGCAGATTTCAGATTGCCCCTGGATATCTTTTCTTTCTGTGAATCTGTAACAATAAACAAAACTGGAATTTAATGGAACGTGCAAACAGAAAATATCATTATTTATCACAGAATAACACGTTCTACAGTAGATGTGTGATAACTTTCACAGTCTACTTTTACATCTATACCAACGAATTATATTTATTTATTTGTTCGTGTAAGAAAGGGTTGGGTGAATAATAAAATATTCTACTCTGTTTTTATATATATATATATATATATATATATATATATATATATATATATCAAAAAAGTCTCGTGGGAGATTCTCTACATAGCTCAATCCCACTCTGTAAATACTTGCAGCCACGGCGTCTCAGAGAGTAGGACGATGTCTTACTAATTCGACCCCGGTGTTGGATGAGAAATGTTTTTGGGATTTTACAGTATGGTTACCCCATGTCAGTGATGCAGGAAGGATGGGCCTTAGAGAAAACAGCGCTCGGGGGTTTGGGTGGGACCAAACGAAACAGGGATGGTAGGCCTATACGTTGGTGTGTACGCAAAAGAACCCTAGACACAGTTAAAATTCGATTAAGAGTAAGTGGAAACTCTGCTTTTCTAGAAAACTTTTCCTGCATGACATATTCCGTCTTTATTAGAGCTGTTGGTGCAGAAACGTAGTACGATAAGCCCATTTCATTTTATTTCTATAATATATGACAATTCTACTCCTATTCCACAACCAGTCCGTATAAATGCATGAAATTGGAATTATTAGGGGGAGCTTAAGATCAGCACTATTCAATAGTGAAACGTACAAACTACCTTACTTAATGATAGCAGTACTAATCTGCGGCTGATTAAAGTGGTCAGTTGTACATTAATACTAATTCGCCACTCAATATTCACTGAACAAACGTGAAATACTCGCCAGAATAAACATCATTCTTTAGAGTAGCCGGATCATCTGTCACTACGTGCACGGAGCGACTTGGCTCGTTTTCACATAAATATTCCTTTAATTCATTTGTTCTCTTGGTTTTACCACTGCACGGTAATCCACATATTATCACTAACGGCATTTTAAACAGTAATTAGTTGGCTAATGTTAGTTGAACATAAAATAACCACACGTGGATTGTAATCTATATAGACATGTTCATCCAGTGATCTCGAGAGTTTGTAGACTGATGACTTGACCCATTTGCTCGCGGCACAAATAACATTACGGATCGGTTTATGACTACAGACAGTATACTGTGTTTATTTTAATATGATCAAATAATCGAAGGCTTATAGTATAGTATATTCCGTGATATCCCATTCGGCGTCTTTAAACAATGTCTGCATAGTCCCTTATATTAACAATGATAATATTCTGTCGACGATTTAGGTTATTCTAAAAATGAGAGGGGTGAGGCGGGGGTCTAAAGATTAGAAATTTGACTCTTTGGATGATGTGAACCGCACACCTTCCACAGATTCCCAATAATATTTCCTAGGTTGCATTACATTATAGGCTGATAAATGAATTGGCGTGCGCGATTAGTTGGGGGGGGGGTAGGGGGGTGCGCCAGTGAGGAGATTTTGGATCGAACCATGTAGGCCCTACTGCAGTGCAATATCCATTATATGACGCTGGCTTGTGTATATTTTCACAATTAACGTGGAATATGTTTGCTGTTAAACTTTTGTAATCTTTATGCTGTCTGGCCGTAGAAACAGAATTGGTCATACTAAACAAATTTGACATTGGGGGAAGTGGACCCATCCGTCCGTCGGCCCACCCGCCTGTCCGCTCTGTATACAACAGAAATACACAAACAAAGCTGTGGACTATTATAATCGGTTCGTACGACTGTATATCCGTTCGTCAGACTTTTCGGAGCACTATAACTCTTCTTCTAATCGCGGTGGAATATTTAAATGAAATGGGATTTAACTCGTCCTACTTTTATGCACACCAACTGAGCTAATGAAGCCTGGCTTAAAATTAATATATGACATTTTGCCCTGACACCGGCGCTACGAGCCATTTTATTTCGAGTTCAAATTCTGAAGGTCCTTTAACGTGCATATGACAATGTGTACACGGGATCTGTGTATCGCATCATCCGAACGACTAGACAATGTCCTTGCTAGGCCCTCAAGCTGAACGATGATAAAACCGAGTATCTTTTAATTAGCTCACCAACAGTTCAAGCAAAAATTTCAGATAATATTGATATTTCTATCGGCGACATTTTTGTAGAGCCAGTAAAAATTGCTAGAAACATTGGTGTAATGTTTGATAGTAACCTAGGGAAGACCTAGTGTAGCCGCCAACCCCGAACAGACCGGCTTCGCTCGGAAGTGGTAGACTAACCGGAAGTGGTAGACTAACGCCACCTGGCCTATGTTACTCCCCGGTCCGAGCTACCCCTATACCTCAAATTTCAGACTCGGGGCAGACCTAGTTTAGCCGCCAACCCTGAACAGACAGATAGACCGACAAACGACAGTCACAAATATATATATAGATGATCACCTATTAGTAAAATTCGCAATAACCTCTCAACTGACGCAATACAAACACTTATAAGTACCATAATTACCTCCAGACTGGGCAGTTGCAACTGTGATCAGACACACAAAATATAATGAGAGAGAGAGAGAGAGAGAGAGAGAGAGAGAGAGTTTAACGTCCACTCGACACAACCCAGGTCATTTCGGGACTAATACATGGTTCAATTTTATTTCAATAATTCGCTTGCGCGTAGGAGTCTTTAGCAGTGAGGGGAAACCGGAGGACCAGGAAAAAACCCCACAAGGTTGGACAGGCGACCCTACTAATTGCCACGTACAAGCGGGGAATCAAAACCACACCAGTTGGCTCAACGACAGACCTTATGATACGGCGAGCACGTGCTTACCATACGCCCATCCAACCCCCGCCCAAGAAAGCAGTGGAATTTCTTGCCTTTTAGTATCCCTTTAACAACTTTTAAATCTAATGTAAACTTTTTTATTCCAAGAGGCCTTTAATTGTTGAATTAATTTTGAATCTTCAACATATGTGTATATTTCTATGTGTATTTAATTAGTTTATAGGTATTCATATTTTACTGGTTTCGTAGATATCTATATTTTACTGGTTTGACTGATTTTATAGACATTTATTCATTTTTACTTATATTATTGAAATATTTATGTTTATTTTTTTTTATTTTATAGATATTTATTTATTTATTGTGGTACTGAGTTTTATAGATATTTAGTTTGTGTCTATAGATAGTATTATATTTTACTGATTTTTATATTTTCTATACTTGTATTTATTGTAAAGCGCACCTGAACACGTATGTGGAAGACAGCGCTATATAAGTTTTGTATAATAATCATAATGATAATAATTACAACTAAATCTAAAAGCTTTAAAATAAATTCCACTCTTGCCGTCTGCTATGACTTGAAGTGAGATTTTTTTTTAACCCCTAGGGCTTAGTGTTAGTGTTAGTTTTAATAAGATAATAATTTTATCAAGTTATTATTATCTAACAAGTTTTTATGTAATTAGAAATAATATTGCACAAAACTCCTTGTCTTTATATTTTATTCATGTAAATTTATTTCTTCAATCGGGAAATTGATATTAAAAATATAGACCAACTGAAAGGTTCAGGTATAAGTTAGTGTTTGGGTAACACAGATACGGGTGTTCATGTTGTGTAAATATATCCATGTTTAACACAACCTCAACACCACAGACCTTAACTCGGATTGATTTCAAATACAGAGGGGTCTGAGGTTGAGTTAGCACAGCGTTACACCAGTGTTACACTGATCTAACTGGTGTTAAACACTACACCACCTTAACCCAGGACTTGAATTGACCAATTGGATTGGTGAAGACTTCGTGACACAAAAACTATGAATTTATTATGGTAGACTGTTTAAACTTAGTGTAGATGACAAATAGGTTAATATCTATCACTGCGTGCGATGATGGGCGTTTTCTGCACATAGCCTTTGCTAAGAAGCAGCAGTCTAATTGTTTGTCCGTCACACCATCTTAGTCTTGAATACATTAATAGAGCAGGAGCCCAGGGGTCAACCTAGCTGAAAATTGTACCATTGTTCACCTATATGGTATTAATGCATGCATATCTGGTATCATCAGAATGTAAGTCTGCCGGGTATCTGTTGGTGGGTGTGGCTGCGAGGGCTGTGATTCTGGACATAAATTCTTGAGCTAGATTAGCTCAAAAGTATACCACATGAAAATGGTACAGCAGTGTACTTTAAATCTTCAAGTATTACAAAAACACTCTGACAGACATTTTTAGTGGTGGGGTACCCCCGACAAAGTTATGTAATTGTCAGACCACAGCTAGGCTAGATTAGCTGAAATCTGTACCACTTAAAACTGCTTGGAAGTTGTTCAGCACCACCACAGGAACCAAGAATGATCACTGCCAGACAATTTGTGCGGTGGGTTACCCTGACAGACACGACGAAAATACCCCCCCCCCCCCAACTAGGCTAGATTAACTGAAGTCCGTACCACCTAAAAGTGCTTGGTAGTTGTTCAGCACCACCACACGGATCATGAATTACCACTGCCAGACAGATATTGCGGTGGGGTACCCCTGAAAGAAACGCCCAAAATGACCTGTCCCGCAACTAGGCTAGATTAGCTGAAATATGTACCACTTATAACTGCTTTGGTGTTGTTCAGCACCACCACAGGAATCATGAATGATCACTGCCAAACCGATTGTACGGTGGGTTACCCCTAACACAACAGACACACCAAAAATGACACGCCTCGCAATTAGGCTAGAGTAGCTGAAGTGTGTACCAGTTAAAACTGCTTGGAAATTGTTCAGCACCCCAGGAATCACACTGCCCATTACTAGAGAGTTTGTTTGGTGGGGTTCGCCGATAAGACACGACAGCCAAGCGCCCCCTCCCAAAAATTTGGCTTTATCAGAATTCTGGGTATTACATATTTTCATGAGTATGTAATATCTATTAAAGATGAAGTAATCGTATTGGAGAATAATAAGTAGAGGTTCAACTCAGTGACCACTGACATACGAACCATAAAGTCCGGTTGCCAAACCCCATTTTAAGCGTTGACATGGAAATATAGTCCACCTAATGTTTATTAGTGGATTATATATCTTCTATATGTGTTGATTCAGAATTGGGGAAATTTTATATATTCAAGATGGCCGACATGAGGCGGTTTCTGGTTATTTAGTGAGGTAAAATATGTGACAGCTGCTCTCGGACCTCGGTTTGAATATGTTTCTAGAAGAATTCGACCCGCTGAATCCAATGAATTAGGGTATTCCTCCCGAAAGTGATGGCTAATTTCGCTAGAGGGCCAAATTCAAAATGGAGGCTCATTTTAGAGGGAAACTCATAAAGTTCACTAAAAAGATGTGCAATGTATTGAAATGTAGGTTTTGAGTGGATTATATGTCTTTAATATGTGTAGATTCAGAATCTGGGTGATGCCACCCTGGCACCCTTCGGAAAATTTAAATATTCAAGATGGCCGACATGAGACATTTTCTGGTTATTTACTTTAATTTAGTGGGGTCAAAGTCGGGACAGATTCTCTCGGACCTCGGTATGAAGCTGGTTTCTATCGTAATTTGACCCGCTGAATCCAATGAATTTTGCTATTCCTCCTAAAAGTGATGGCTAATTCCGCTAGGGGGCCAAATTCAAAATGGAAGCTTATTTTAGAGGATAACCCATATAGTCCCCCAACAAAGGTGTGCATTATATTAAAATATAGGTTTTCGGTGTCAGTTACTTCAGATATAAACATAAAACATGTTCCGACTAAAGGGTATTCCAGGTTGAGGTCATTTCAAAATGGCGACCAATTTTGGCGAGACATAACGATGTTAGTAATGTTTTAAACTATAGGTTTTCTGATTCGCCGAATTCATAGAGCGGATTGTCAAGCATACATTACATAACTCTGTTGGAGGTACCCCACCACTAGAAATGTCTGTCAAAATGTTTTTGTAATGCTTGAAGATGTAAGGTACACTGCTATACCATTTTCATGTGGTACACTTTTGAGCTAATCTAGCCCAAGAATTCGTGCCCAGAATCCCAGCCCTCACAGCCACACCCAGCACCAGAAACTCGGCCGACTTACATTCTGATGATACCAGATATGAATGCTTTGATGTGAAAATAACCATTATCAGCTTCTACTAAGCACATATAAGCAATTAGATTTACCGATGGTTTCGATTACTCTGACATCGGCCTCACTGTTTGCTTATTTTCAATAGTGTAGGTTTTACTATGCTACAGAAAATAATGAAAATCGTAAAAAAATATTTTATAAACGTAATATTGTAATGATAATGAAAATCGTAAAAAAATATTTTATAAACGTAATATTGTAATTGTAATATTTTAATTAGTATGTGACATACAAAATAATAACATTTATTTATTATACAATATTACATATACATTTGTTCAATTATAAGTTCAGGTCTTATGAATGGAAAGTATATATCAAGTTTCCTTAGTTCTACATATTGAGTTAAACGTCGTAATAGATCATTATGTATGGAATGTTTAGTAACGATGTGTTATCCAAATGCTATAGGAATAATTGTGGGATCAACCAATTTTTGTACATGTGTTTCGTCTTGTAATCTTATGCTGTAGGAGTAATTGTGGGATTTAACCAATTTTTGTAATAATCGTAGTTATTGCTCAACCATTCCATATTAGCTTCTGTCTTTTCTACAGCCGTTCTAAAGGAGCCACTAATAGATGCAGTTTGTCCGTTATTTATCATCTCTTGTATCTAAAAAATAGTTTGAATAAAACGAATATGGTATGTGCAAAATATGCATAGCATTACGTGTATAGAGTGCCAAAAGTCATAATGGCTTACAGGGAGTCACGGTGGCTCAGTGAGTAAGACTTTGTCTCGCTAACCTGAATGTTCCGTGTTCGATCGGGATTTTCCTCTTTGTCAGTGACGCAGGGCCGAGGGCCTTGCAAGAGACAACGTATAGTCGTTCGGATGAAGCGACAAACCGAGGTCCCGTGTACATATTGGCGTGCACGTTAAGGGTCCCTTGGCAGTTGGAATTGGATATAAGAGTAGTCCATAGCGCCGCTGTCCGGGCAAAACTGCCCGCATGGCATATTGTAAGACGCATGTCCGTCTTCATTGGTCCAGTCGGAGCAGAATGGTAGGACGTTAAACCCCATTTCAATTCATAATGACTTACGATGCGTACAAGGGAAAGATGACCCTGGCCTTATGTTTGAAATATTCACATTGCATTGTAAAACAGCGCATAGGGATATTTCCGTAAGCCACAGCGTAAACTCTTTACGCTAACAGCCCGTTACCGAAAACACAATGGCAGGTTGGAATGTCGAAACTGGAATAATTATCAGGGTTTAAAATGCATCTGTTGAATGTGATAACGTTAACAAAAATTTATTATCTATTTCTTTTAAACAGTATAAAGCAAAATTCGATTAAAAGTACCGTATAAGTCATTTTAAAAATATGTTAACGTATCCATGGGTTATTACTTATTATTTAAAATTGGCGTGTGAAACCAAGAACATATTAATAATTAAAGCCATTGGTGTACTTCGTTTCGAAAGCGCTATACAATGTAACTATTATATAACATATATACTAAACAGCAAAAGGAACGTCAGGTTGGTATGTTACTCTGAATAGACGCATTGCCTAAAACTTGTCAAATGTTTTTATTGTATATTTGTGACCACATCTCCAACTTTACCTGAGCAATAAGGCCCCTTCCCAAACACAGAATTGAACCCAGGAAATATTCTCAAAAACGCAACCTGACTTCTGAGATGGTAATGTATTCTCCATGATTTCATGTAACTCATGCTGCACGTGCTGTTCACAGGGACCAGCCCTATAAAATGCACCCTTATACCTGGTTAAATCATTCACACTACAACGTCAGCAGCATGCTACGACTCACGACAGCTCAGAGATACCAGGCGCTTTGAAGACTCGACGCTGTCCACACTGCCCAAGCCGTTGCCAATCACTTCCCGGTCAATGTTCAGACCATCTACAGGCTTCAGCAACGTTTTCGGGCCACCAGCACCACGGCTGATCGCCCCCGAACTGGAAGACCAAGGGTTACCGCAAGGCGACAAGACCGCCATGTTGTGCGACAGCGCGTGCAGAATCCCTTCACACAGGCATCTGTGACAGCACGTCAGACAGTGGGAACACACGAGAGACCCATCAGTACCGATACAGTGCGCCGACGTCTCACCAGAGAGAACATCCAATGCCGTAGACCTTACCGTGGACCGATCCTCACCCCTCCCCACCGACGTGAACGTCTACAGTTTGCCAAACAACATCAGAACTGACGACAATGGTGAACTGTTCTGTTCACAGATGAGAGTCGGTATTGCGTATCAACTGCAGATGGCAGGAGCAGAATATGGCGTCGACGTGGCCAGCGTTATTCCGACCAATGTGTCATGGAACGAGACTCATGGGGAGGCCCAAGCATAATGGTTTGGGTGGAATCGGCCTGAACCAGAGAGTGGGTCCTGTGGTATTCCAAATTCTCGGTCCAGGGAGAGGAGGCGGCATCACAGCAGTGCGCTACATCGATCAAGCTCTCAGACCCCACGCCATACCACATTTCGCACTCGGGACTTTCTACAGCAGAATGGTGTCAACGTTATGCACTGGCCAGCCCTTAGTCCGGACTTAATCCCGATTGAACTTCTTTGGGATGAAATTCAGAGGAGACCAAGCACAGCCGATAGATTGCGTCAGGCTTTTCTGTGAGTGCGGTTCCAGGCGCCAATGGCGTTTATCAATCGTCTGGTCCACTCCATGTACAGACGCTGCGCTGCTGTTATTGACATTTACGGTGGACATACCAGATACTGATGTATAGACCGTGTACAGACTCTAAACCTTCTCGTAATGTCTTGAAATTGTGATGAATTAATCCCCCCCCCCCCAAAAAAAAAAAAAAATTGCTTTGATCCATTTAGTAAGTCGTTTTCTAGAATGATTTGATTAAATTGTCTCTCTGATTTTGAAATCGTACTGACGGGTTTTTTTTTTTGCTGTTTAGTAGGCCTATATATTAATTTTTATACGGAAACACTCTGGTGCGCTAATTTTCACGCAAAATAATTTTGAAACCAAACCCCAGCTCTTTATCTTACCTGATCTAAATAAAACTGAGTGTTGAATTTCTCTGTAACAGATACTAGTAGTCGAGCTAATGTACTGGAACCCATACTTAAATGCAATATAGTTCAAATTTCATTACAAATATCAAAGGAATAAAGAATAAGAAATGGAATCCGGATAAGCAGAAAACGCGAAATTATGAAACTTGAATACATGTAATGCCAAAAATACTTTCATTGGCTTGCCCTTTTTATATTGTAAATATTGAAACGCGGTCTTTCATATATCATCGCCTCTTTCCGATCGACTGTATTGCGCAGTCACAGGTCAACCTTTCCTACTTTATTTGCAGAATTGTAGTGGCTATTTTATGGAGTTTATTTAGCGACAAGGGTTTAAAAAAAATAGCCAAACGCCATTCATATACAGCTTTATAAAGCTAATAAATAGGTAGCGGTATATAGTGTGGTACTAAAACGGTCGGTTTAAAGTTATGCGCCACGGTCGTGAAAAAGAAATTTGTATCTAATGGAAATCGGTTTATATATTGTACATTCAAACACACATCACCATGAACTTAGCAAATGGAAAGTGGCATCAGGTGTTCTTGAACAATTACTGGAGTGATAGTTTGGATTCATGCTGCTTAAATGATCTAATAAAATATTTGACATACCTTGAATCGAGTTCTGTTAGTCTATTCCTAAAGAAATTCCAGGCAAGATCTACACCAAGGGGATTTTGTGCTACATACGTAATGGTGGTCCGTATGTCTTGTGGCCTGACTTCATCAGGATTCAACGACATGTCTAATACCCTGTAAGATTAATTACATAACTCATTGCTTGCCTATGGTACTGGTACCTCGTCTTCTCAGGTGTGAAAGGTGTGTGTGTGTGTGTGTGGGGGGGGGGGGTTACATCTGATAAATTTCTAAAACAAATATTGATTTTAATATAAAAATGTTAATTTTAGTGTATTTAATGTGAAACTAATGAAGATATAAGAAAGTGGCACTATGAATTAAGAACTAAAAATTAAGAACACTGAATAAAGAGCTGTTTGGCCTTCCATAGGGGTGGGACTTTTTTTGTTTCTATACAGTAGTAAATTAAATGGCGAACACGTACTACATGGCATATGGGCTGGGGGGGGGGGGGCATTAATGCATTTCCTACGGTTGTGCGGAAGACGTAACGATATGCCAAGATTAACACCGTGAATGCGCCATCATATTCCCAAAGCAATCACCCGAGAAATCCCCCTCTGGCCATTGCTGGATTGACTTCTGATACTTTTGAGAGTTTTTGAGTGAGTGTGTCTATTCTTCCCGCTCAATCAAATCTCTCCTAAGTACAGCAACATGACAGCCCTTCGTTAAATCTGGAGTCTTCCCTAAAACTTTGGTCAGTGATTTAAGGTATTCAAAACAGTGAAAGCATTGTTCGTCTCCAAACAGTATTGTTTACACTACAGCTGTTTTGCTAGCTTTGTTTGTCACGCAATTAGGTTTTCAGCAATATTCTACTATGCACTGGTTAATTGGGCGTCCAAAATTTCGTGAGTCATGACTTAACGTTATGTAAACATATTTGGAGTTCTGTTTAAACCCGAATGATATTGTTACGTAGTTAGGTATTGGATGTTAATCGAACTATTGACCAGTCATAATTTGGAACAGAAATTTGCTTTCATTACGGCAGTGTTGTGTTGGATTAGGTCTAATCAAACGAAACACTGCTAGGAGCATGATCATCTCCATGCTGCGGAGTATGTCATGTGCTCCAACACGAAATATTGCAGTATAAAAATGATATCTTGCCTTTGTAATAATGATAGATGTGTGCTGCAGGCCAAGGCCTCACGTAAAGCATCTTTCTCGGTTGATCGTTGTTCTTGTTTGTATTGCTCGTAGATAAAATCCCATTCTTCATAACCTCCATATCTTACAGCAGTACAATAAAATAGCGCTCTTAGATTAGGGTCGATACTGAAATAAAATAGACTCGTATATAAGTGTACATAATGTTGCCATAACTTATATAAGTTTCCTGGGAATGGGCACCTTTAAGGGGCAAATAGGTAGTCCATTCTGAAAGGGCATGAATTATTCTGATACAAAATGATATGAATGTTGTTCAAGTTTCAGTTATTGAATTTGTTCAACACTATAGAAGTTGGACGTAGGCACCTTGATTTGGCAACTTGATGTTGTCGACTAAACTAATTAGTAGTTAATACCTAATATCAACAACTTTTGGTACTTTTTTTTAGCCCTTTGATGGTTATTGTACTTTTTATTAGCCCTTTGATGGTTTCATATGAGTTATTAATTTTGTTACCTTGTTGTATATAATTTGATTTCTTGCTATTATACTGTCATTACTTACTTGAGAACGACAAGAGGAACTTGTTGAAACGTAGTGTGAAATAAACCCAGTGATTGTTTTCCATATAAATTTGTGTTTTATAACTTTTGGTAAGTATATTGTTTTGCTCATCAAGTTTACTAATTAAGATGGGTAGATTTGTTTTTTTACTACTTTTCTTAACCAAACACATGAAATTGAAACCGTTGGAGTTGGACAACAGAATATTCCCTTCTCGGAACGTAAAAACAAATGCCTTTAGCTACGTGAATTCATCAAATCACCCCAGGCCTTCCTAGAAAAGGCACACAGTTTCCGTCTACATACTAAGTAGTAATTAGTGATATTTTTTTGTACTCAACATTACTTCAAAAGATTATATATACTATTCAAAAAAAGTAGGGGATATTTGATTTTTAAGTGTTATTAAAGTCACCTAATGAAACTGACGAAGAAACAAATGACAAAATGAAATGAAGTTCACATTCATCGATTTATTCCAAATGATCGTTAGACTAAGTAAGGCACAGACTGACCATTATAAGGGTAAAATGATACCCGGGGTCAAACAGCAAAGTTACCACAGCATCACAACCAAGTCAGTAACGGGTAAATCCTCCTCTGTTTGCCAAACAAGCATTGATCCGACGTGGCATACTCCTAATGAGACGTCTAAGGTTATTTTGGTCCAGATTGTCCCATTCCTGTTGCAACGCAGCAGCAAGTTCTTGGACATTGGCAGGACGTTGTTGACGTTGACGTAACCTCTGTCCAAGCATGTCCCAGACATGCTCGATGGGGGAGAGGTCGGGACTCAGTGCTGGCCAAGGTAATGTGGTGATGTTCTGTTGTTGGAGGTAACCTGTAACGATCCTGGCCCTGTGACATCTTGCGTTGTCATCCTGGAAGATGAAACGGCGGCCATGACGTCGCACGAACGGCACAACATGGACTGCCAAGATGTTGTCCCGGTAGTACTGGCCTGTAACACGCCCTGCAACAACATGTAAAGCCGTTCTTCCAGCAACAGTGATGCCTCCCCACACCATAACAGAACCACCCCCAAATCGATCATGTCTGATGACGTTAACGTCTTGGAAGCGCTCGTTTCGACGACGCCACACCCTCCTACGTCTGTCCAAAAAATCAACAGTGAACCTTGACTCATCTGAAAACATCACATTGCTCCAGCGTCGATTATCCCAGTGTTGACGATCCCTACACCAACGACGTCTTGCCTGAATGTGATGATCTCTCAAACAAGGGATCACGCGAGGACGTCGGGCGCGAAGGTGACCCCTATGCAGTCGATTCCGAATCGTCTGGCCACTCACTCTCACACCAGTGTCTGTTTGAAGACGAGCGCTGATCTGATTTGCTGTGATGACACGATTTCTCAAGGCCAAGGTACGGATAAATCGATCCTGGGCTTGAGTTGTCGCCCTTGGTCGACCTGAGCGTGGTCTGTCCTGTACAGATTGTGTATCACGGTATCTGGACCATAGCCTGCTTATGACAGACTGAGAAACATTCATCGTCCGCGCCACAACCGCCTGTGTTGTGCCGATCTGTAGCATGCCAAGGGCACGTAACCTTTCATTTTGGGTAAGCCGACGCATATCAAAATTTGTTTTCTGGTCACTAAAACAATTAAACTGATGTTTCCACCCTGGAATTCAATGCCACAATGACTGTAACATTCAAAGTCAGAGTCGTGCAAATCTTGGGTTGGACCCCCTTGATGATCCCAAGCATCACCTGCATTCCATGCGGTAGCTATTGGTGCGTTTGGGCGTCACATGTAACTGGAAATGTTTCTTCTGTTAGGTTCTATAGTGACTTTATTCGTAGTCATTTGCATATTTTAGTATTATGCCCCCAAAATCAAATATCCCCTACTTTTTTTTAATAGTATAGTTAAGGCTTAGTATGTTAGCTTAGTATAAGTCGACGAATCCGATACTTCTCAGGGAGGGAGCACGTTCAAATAAGTCGACACAATACATCTATTACATTATTTTAAAACAGTAGCCTAGTCACATTACCTGTTCACCGTAGAGTTATTTCTCCAATTGTCAAACTGTGCCCAGGCTACACTGGTACAGAGCTCGACACCATGTTTACAAGCGTAAGATGCCAGAAGAGTAATAGTGAAACTGAAATATACAATCTAAATGTAGTTTTAAAAAAGCAGTCACTGCATGAGCATGACCATTTTCACGAGTCCTGTGGACGCATAAATGTAGGACGTTAAAACAAATGCGAATTGAAATTAATGCGACTCCTATTCGATAGGCCTATTACTTTTTATATTACGACTGGGCGGCTTCTTTTAAGCTGAGAAAGAAGTTTCAAGTATTTTACCAACAACATTAATCAATTGCTTGACGACACCCTTGATTTACAGGCTAACTACCCCACACTTCACTTTTTAATATAATAGATCAGAGCATAAGTGCGGATTTGTCTGGTGATAATTCGTATTTAACGCATTAATTTCTTTCTTGCATTAGATTCTTGATTTACAGTATATGTATGAAATTTAGATTAACCTACACATCAATATGTTCCATGTCTTCTTTTATTTCTAATCCAAGAGTAGTTAATGGACCTTCCACCATATTTTTCATCTTAATCTAAAATATAATCCAGCAATTTTACGTAAACCTGCTTTTATGTATGTAGATAATGAATTAGGTAATGAATACGGCGATACGTTATATTGACTTTACTATTTCGAAATTTAAAAAAAAGGCGTATTTATATGTGATTTCTCATATTTTGTTTTAATAAATCCAAGCATGTTTCATTTCCCTGGAAACTTATTTAAGATATATCCCCAAAACATAGCATTTTCAAATTTATATATAGGTACGTACACTAAAACTGCCATATATGTCTGTTCTTTCCAGCATGTAATCAACATATCCCATTCCTCTTGAAAAGGCTCTCCAGGCAGGATAATCTGTTTCATTTTTAAGAAAATCCAGGGTTTGCAAGGCTATGGAAGTATCAAGAAGGCCTGCTCTGTAAATATATTTTCAACAATTTACAATGAAGGAAAGGCGGTGCCATATAGAAACTTTGTGTAAGAGCAAAATGATGGCCACAAGTTATGTAAACTATTATTTAGACATTTATTCACATAAATATAATCAATTCTCTAGATCATCGGATGGCGGAGATATCAAACGGATTAAACACGGTCGCCATTTCATTTTGCATTCTATTTTTGAACAATTATAGCAAGAACGGCCACCTCTATATCTAATCCATACACCTGCATCTTTAAATCTTTTGTAACGTAGCCTTTTCGACAAGAATTGCGTGCAGTGCTCATATAAAAGATCAATTCAAGCGTGTTGGTCGTGCTAGAAATGAAATTTTGGAAATAAAATACTAATAATATCTTATGATTGAGATAAATGTATCGAAACTTACTTGGCC